ACACGATATCTCAACCGATAGATCTGATTATGGCCTGTCTATTTAGATTTAGTACTTTCGCTACATGAATTATATATTAAATAGAGACAAGTAAACATTGACTACATAAATTAGGAGATTATGTGTTATCTCTGTACTGAGTCATTTATGAACCGATTTTAAAAGTTCTTTTTGCATTGAATACGGGTTTGTGTTTCATGTGGTCCCATATTTTTCATCGGTATTGAAGTTGAACTCTGGAGATACGTGGAGAAATAGAAAATGTATAGTGTGAACGCTGGAAAGTGTTCGAAACGTCGGTAATTTAATATTTATAACACGATAAAATCCGTAAAATAATACCATTTAACTTTCGTTTAAACAGACAGTCTCAAATCTTCTAGTTTGCAGGAAAGTACACTATGGTAACAACATATATATTATGTTCTAGTTCTGGGCAAAGACGTCCTCTGTACAGAGGGTATTACGGCATAGTCCACCACGCGAATCCACACTGCGCATTGGCGGATTTCTCATGTCTTCGAAATATCTTTTTAATTTCGAAAATATGTAAGTTTTCACGCGATGTTTTCCGTCACCACTGAAAAAATTAACTATTTTAATGGTGCCGTCAACTTGATCTGAACTCGGGTTGCTCGAGCATATTGAATCAAAAGCGATCGCCTGGACACTGAGCTCAGTCCGCAAACCAGAGCCGTGATAGCTATCACGGCTCTGGTTTGCGGAAGAGGCATAAATGTCAGACGTTTATTTTAGCACGTCAAAATTCCAGAAAAGACAACTCATTTGCACACGTACTAACTGGATTTGGATCGATTATCTTAGGATCGCAAGTTCGACCCCACTATTTTAAACGGAATAGAATGTCTGTGTTGGCTTGTCCTTCATTCTTGCAGCGAGCGAACGATATCTCTCGCGATGATGTAGTTTATGGGCCGTAGAGAGACAGAACGATTCCGAAACTGGGTTACGTATAAAAGTCACAAGGGTTCCGCGAAAATGTTTATTTTCTATGGGCTTATATAATACCACAGTTTTTATTTTATTTTATTAGGAAAACTTACAGCAAATTAGGTTATGTCTTCTAAATAAGGAAACATTATAATTACGATACTTGCAATACGTATAAGTAAATATATTAGTTATTACTAAACTAGCTGTCCCCCACCCGCTTCGCGCGGTCTTACTATCTTTTTTCAATAAAAAGAAATAGGCTTATAGTCCGGATGAGTAAATCATCAACATTTCATATACTAAAACCTCCGAAACACGCTGCATCTTGTAGTATAAGTATTATTCCGATCGGTTCTGTAGTTCTCGCAGTATGAGTATGACCGAACAAAAAAATCGACTCGCCATTTACTAGTTTATAAGAATACTAGCGGACTAAGCAGACGATGTCCTTTACACACGACTTAAATCCGATCCGAAAAAAAGTTGTGAATCTAAACCATTCTCGAATCGACCTGAAGAGACGTAAAAAAATTCATTAAAATCGGTCCAGCCGTTTAGGATGAGTTCAGTGACATACACGTACAGTATAATTATATTAAAAAAAAAATGAAGTAACAACCTATACATGTCCCACTACCGGGCAAAGGCCTCCTCTGTATTGCAAACTTCACAATAACTTCGGAATATTTGCTTTGTTGATATTTCGAAAATATGCCGGTTTCTTCACGTTTTCCTTCACCGCAGAGCACGTGGTCAGCACTTAAATGAACAATTTCATTGATGCCGGCATCGAGGATCGAATTGGGGTTGCTCGAGTATATTGAATTAAAGGCGAGCGCCCGGACACTGAGCTATCACGACTCAAGTTATCAGTAGTATAGTAGTAATATTACCATTACCAGTTCTTGTATTCTGATTAAGAGCCAAGGGTAGTTTCGGGGCCGGTTCTAGTTTAACGTAGCCAAAGGAATTTCGGAATTTAAGGATTATATGGTTAGCTTTTTTATAAAATAATTTTTTAATTATTGAATTAACAAAAGTAAACAAACAAATGTAGGTAGTGTTAACGCTCTTATGACATTAATTGCTAGTGTTTCATACACGGCCGAACAATATCCAGTTCCACTTCTAACCTGAAACACTTGAGGTGCACCCGGGCCGTAAAGCGCCGTCTATTCGTAAGATGAGAAAAAAGTAACCAGCACGTCACTACGTTATGAGTTACGTTCGCCTCTCGAGCGAAGTCCTTGCCGGCCAGCCTAAACAATGGTGCGCGTTGTTTACGTCGCGCTAAGTTGCGTCTACGCTCGTGATGAATTATTACCACACACACAAGTGGCCGGTGCACGAAAGCGTTATTTTTCACTTCGGGCGGCGCCCGATAAGGATATCGTTTCGATCGCGTCGTTGGTAAAACCAGCCACCCTCCTATGCCCACATATGACACTCGAAAAATAGCAAAAAGTCGGGTAGGACCTTTGCCGCGTTATAATGCTAGGAGTATCGTAAATATGAAGGCCGTTCAATTTTTTTTATTTACAATTCAAATCTTCGAGTTAGGAGTGAATACATTGTATATTGAGCGATTACTTGTCCACGCAATAAAATATCACGATGGGTCCACGCTTAGTCAAGCTAAGCTAATGATATATAGTAATAAATAGACGCTAATTTAATCACAGTAGAAAAATTTTAATCTTTAAACAGAAGAGCACAAGAATAACAATTTAACGGTGGTAGGGCCACGCAGCAGCCTCGGCTGTTGCACAAATGGGCAGGCCCGTCCGGGCCTCACAGAAGACCAGCGTAAAGTGGAAGTATGACAAATACTTTCGCGTTTCGGCTGGTGAGTGAGGTAGCCGGAGCCCATTTTTCAAAAGCTTATCAACGCATCTGTAGCCCTCGGGTGTAGCAGATGTCCATGGGCGGCGGTATTCACTTAACATCTGGTGAACCGTCTGCTCGTTTGGCATTTGACTTTTAACATAAAAAAAAACATTGGTCTTTGCAGCATCAGCCCCCGTTTGTGATTAGAACCGGAAACGTTGTAACTGATCCCCCATCCGTGCCCACTGCGCCGCCCGCATTCAGCATTCCCCGATTGATTAGTTTCAAGCATCTATGCGAGCCGTTCGCATTTGAGATGTATATACCATATACAAATCTGTATGCGCAAATTGTCTATGTGTGCTCCCCTAATCTGTCACCCATAAGATATCAACAGATATCTATTACGAATGGTCAATTGGACTCTATATTTTTGTTTAATGTTTATATATTATTATAATGTTCTTATTTCATCCTTAGTATTTTAACAATTTTTTGGTTCTGTTTTTTTAGCTTTTACCTATAATTAATGTACCACTCATCAGTTTTTTGTGAAATTGTTTATTTATTCTATTTCTGCTTGGACTTTGTTGGTGATATATAAATAAACATTCCTTGCAGCATATCTGCAAAATATCTTCATTCAAATAGATGCTTCCCCGTTCTTATGAAACGTCGAATTTTACATTCTACTTGAAGTAACAGTTCTTCACAATTCATCAATCTCTTATTCAAATACTTCCTCAGCTTTTAATATTCGTTTGATGTCTTCAGTTAGCCTATAACTTTCCTGCAACTACCCAGGTTAAACGAACTCCCCTGACATTACACAATCTGAAACTATCATTACCGCTGAACGTCAAACGCTTTGTGCGCGGAGCCGAATGCCGAGTTCGTATTTCGTTGGCAGCGTAAAGTGTCACGTTCAATTCCTACGAATCCTGTTACGGAGATAGAATTATGTACCTCGATTCTCCTATGTGTATATTGTATTTGCAAACTCATTGTAACACAACCTACACAAGAAAACAAAACAAGCTATCTCTGTCTACCCGTCTAAGTGAGTGTCTAAGTGATAAGAGCTCTCTTTTCCCCTTCATTAACGTTTTTATTGCAAGAACACACAAAGGATGAATCCATAATGATTCTATTTCCGCCATAGGCTAAGTTACAAAGGTTGTAAGTGATTATTATTATCAGTGGAAAACGTCATGTGGTCATGATCCTCAGAATTGAGGAACCGAGCAAGAAGAAGTGATTATTAATAATGTATATATATTAATAACAAATATATATTCCCATTAATTTTTAAGATCTCATAAAATCTGTTACCCATTACCGTGGCTTATTTTTTTAGCTTATACCCGCGCTTTAAATGCATAGCTTGAGCCGTCTGTTTCAAATTTTGTTTAAATCTATTCAACGTACGCGGCATAATGCATACAACATGAACATTTTGTAATATTACTGTGATAACACGTCATTCATTATTAGGGCCCCTGTTAAAATTGAATGAAACGTTCGCGCAACAGTTGACAGTCCACGCGCCTTATCTGGGGCCACTGAGTGAATCGTAAATCGTAAGCCTTTGAGAGCGTTCATTATCGCAGCTTCCTAACGGCCTCTGACTTCCTAAAGCAGCGATAACGCTGCGCGATCCATAAAAATTGCGTGCCCCTCTGTATATTATAAAATAATATTTGAAAAATTTAAAATAAATGCAAACATAACAAAATAAACTTAAGTGAGAGTCTGTGTAGCAGCATAAGACCTTAATCTATAGAAACGCAGAATTTTACTTCTAAACTTCATCGTCATCGACCTAAACTTTCCAATGCTGACATCCCTGTCAGCATTGGAACCTTCTTTACCCTTTTTAACCTGAATACCTTTTTTATGTGAAAAATTGTCAAGCGAGCAGACGGTTCACCTGATGTTAAGTGAATACCGCCGCCAATAGACATCTGCTACACCCGACGATTACAGGTGCGTTGACAACCTTTAGAAAATTGGGCTCCGGACACCTCACTCACCAGACGAAACGCGAAAGTATTATACTTCCACTTAACGCCAGTCTTCTGTGAGGTCGTGGTACTTACCCGGGCGAGCCTGCCCACTCGTGCAACAGCCGAGGTTGCTGCGTGGCCCTATCACGATATTATAAGCGAGCCAGTTCCATTATTCCTCTACTCGTCTTAACGTACATGTTTCGCCCCCAGGTGGTGTTAGAGGTAGCTCATCGCGTTGACCAGGAGGGCGTGGTGGCCGTCGAGTCCGTTGTGGAGAAGCTGATATTCAAGCCGCAGGACGTGGTCTCCATCCGGGCCAAGGACTCCGACCTCGAGTACGCCACGCATGATGTGTTCCAGACCGACACAGCGATCAGCAAGTTTAATGGTGAGGAAGCCATATTAATATGTATATATCATTACATAGTATAAAACAAAGTCATCCCTCTGTCTGTCTGTCCCTATATATCTTAGATCTTTAAAACTACGCAACGAATTTTGTTGCAGTTTTCTTTAAGAGATAGAGTGATTAAAGAGGAAGGTTTATATGTATAATTCATGCATAATATATTGGAGAAATACGGACGATTTTATAACAAAACTGTCGAAACATTCAGCATTGCACCCGTGCGAAGCCGGGGCGGGTCGCTAGTTTTAATATAAGAATTCAATCAAGTAGAATTCGACTATAGAGCTTTGCGCCTGCCAAAGGTTAAATAGATTTTTTTTTAATTGTATTAAACAGCTTTGAAACCACAATTTGAAAAGTTCGTTCACCATTCGAAAGGTACATTTTTCCTTTTTTTTATTATACATGAAGATGGTTGTTATTGATATTATTTTTGTATAAGCTACCGATATTTATATCAATATAATAACCCTAAGTAATGTGTAACATACCTGATAAATTGATCAATTAATTATTATAAATTAAAAGCAACGGTAAACATTGTTCTTTGTGTTAACAGAATCTCTGTGAATTTTAGCTTGAAATGTTTCACTCGTGGTGTTCTTCAACTTGGCAATTAATTACCGAGCTGTATCGAATTCCCTGTGTAATGGGAAACTAGATACGACTATGACAACTGCAAACTTATGTGATCTTCAAAGGAAGCACTGGTGCCGGATAAACTTTCTTTTTCACTGCTATACAGTAAATGTTTCTGTTGTTCACGGAACTCTACCAAAAAAGTCACAAACAAATAACAGGAGTCGTTATTTTATTGAATTAGATCCAGTTATTTCAACGACTATTTTACATTAAAATAGAAACCTGGTCTTATATTTCCTACACTATCATCACTTGCACACTTACCTCGTCGTTATGTCGTCTGGCTGTCCAACATGGCGATGTGTTCTTTATTGTTTTTCGTTTTTTGTATCTCTTTATATTTCACGACGACTTTAAATTGCAGCGTAATTCCGACTGCGATTCGCACTTACCCGGTCTATACATTTCGCTGTGGTCATTGGTTCGTGTTTTATGCCCGGTTCGTGTATTCAGCGAACGGCCGCTATTTATACATAGCTTCGTAACTTCCATAACGACTTGTAGACAAAACGAGTGTACGCCCGGTTCCTATATCAACAAAACGAGGCGTTTTCCTAACGAGCCGCTGCATTACCTACGGAAAGTGAGTTAATGCCGATCCTTTGATTTGCGCCTCATTACGAAGCTATGTAACTAACGGCCGCTCGTTGAATAAAGGAGGTGCCGGGCATTGACACTTTCAATATCTCTCTTCTAAAAACGATAAAAACCTTCGCTCGACCAATAATTGTCCTCCTCATCGTTCATACTTCTCACACTCTTCTTTCTTTATTCAACCATCCTTTTGTGGAATGCATTACCTCTCGAAATGAGGTTGGCCAAGAGCCGCTATTCTTTTAAAAGCAGAGTTCGTGAGCATTTGCTTAAACAACTGTTAGCAGAATCAGTTCGTCCTTAATGTCTGTCCTTTATTTTATAAATTATTATATTATATTTATTTTTACGTTATATCTGTGCACCTACCTCGATATCTCTACACCACCCTAAGGTTGACTGGCAGAAAATGCCTTTGGCATTAACTCCGCCTTTGTACTAGATTGTGCATAAAGTGTAAATAAATAAATAAATAAATTGACGCGCGCTAAATCGCAGGTAACGGGCGCAACGCCGAGGAGCGCCACCTAGAGCCGTGGGACGGGTGCGAGGCGGAGGCGGGCGACGCGCCCACGCTGAACGGCGACGCGCGCCTCGACGAGCTCGAGCTCGACCACCGCGCCAACGGCTGGGACGCGAACGACATGTTCCGCAAGAACGAGGAGGTGTACGGCGTGCACAGCACCTACGACCACTCGCTGGCCGGCTACACGCTGCCGCTGCAGCGCAAGGACACGCAGGACTACAGGTGACGCCGGCCACGGCCGTCGCTACGATCACGACCATGACTACGATCACGACCACGCCTACAACCACTCTTACGACCACTCCCACCACCGTCATTTCAATATATGAGATTTTCCATTGTTATAACAAGATTATACGTTGATATGCAATAGTAACTGATTATGCCCAGTTTTCCAAGTTACGTTCAAATTTCTCTGAATTCAGCTAATATTAGAAATTAACCGTGGTGCGTCATAAGCCGTGCAATAATGTTGTAATACAGTCGAGTACATGCCGTTATCTTTTCACAGAGATGCAGAGGCTAAGGCAGAGGAAATTGCAGCTGAGATTGAGAGCACGCCTTCGTACAAGGCGCGCATAGAGTTGGAGAATGGGGATGAAGAGGAGAGATTCGCGGCCGTGGTCAGGCCCGGCGAAGGCAACGGCGCTGGCAAATACGTCATACCGAATAAACGGAAGAACTTGCAGGTGGGGGAAGTGGAGTAGTAGCATTTATTTGTTCGGATTTGAAATTTTTCGTGATAAATTATTACTTTTTACCCGATTAGTGTCAATAAACAATTACACAGGTCCTAGAAAACTTTCACGACAAACTTAACTCTTTCCAAAGATAATAATATAAATGCTGTCCATTTGGAAAATTATCGAAATAGACAAAAAATGTTTATGCATACTGTCAAAGTTTTCAATACGTTTTCATAGTTCATTACTCAGTTTATTACTCGTAACCGAACAAAAGTCAGGGGCAATAACTGGCTTAATCTTCAATCAAATATTGCAGAGCGGTAAACTGGTAAAGCCGTCGCCGGGCAACGGAGGGGGCGCGTCACCGGGCGCCGGCAAGTCCGGCAACTTCCCCCACGGGCCGCACGGACCGCACGCACCGCATGGACCGCACGGCCCGCATGGTCCCCACGGACCGCACGGACCTCACGGCCCGCACGGTCCGCACGGGCCCCACGGCGGCCACGGGCCGCACGCGCCCCACGGGAACCACGGCCCGCCCAAGGACAAGGAGCACCGCCCGCCCCGCCACCACCTCACCCCGCCCTCCGAGCGGCGGCAGGAGGAGGCGCCTGTAAGTGCAACGTGGCGCAGTTGCCACATTAACCTCGGCGTCGGGGTTCGTGGGTCCGATTCCGACACGGGACAACCATTTGTGTGACCACGTGAAAATTATACGTCTAAAACGTCCTTGCAACACAGGATAATGTTATACAGCAAGGGGCAATGTTTTCGAAGGGAGGACTATTGTAGTCTTCCCTTCGAAAACTCTAGGTCGCAATGGTCGTTGTACAAGTACTATCATGTTTCTTATTGAAATGCTGCGGCGGTCTGGAAAGGTCTGCTCAAACCATTGACTAATATTGGACTGTCATTGACTAATGACTACTGTTAGACCACTGATCGAAAAGATTACCTATTTATAGATTGAAAGGATTAATTTTTGAAGATATTTAAAAAAGTAACCAAATGCCACCAAAGGGATCCTTTATAGATCTATTTTATTGCAAACACTAAGATTATAAAAGAATTATTGTGTCTATGTCAATGTTAATGAGAGTTCACCCTGATTAATCTAATGAGATAACTTCTGACCACCCTTGTAATTGGACCAAAGAAATGTCAAGGACTTTTCACTTTTAAGCCCTTTTTGTTACACGATAGAGAAGAAAGACAATAACATCGAGAGAAAGAGAGCGAGAGTAGCAATGACACTAAATACAAAATTATACAAAAAAAAGATAAATATCTCGCTGTGTATATTTTCTAATGTTCCTTATGGTCCGATATGAATAATGCGTCTTACTGTGCGCGTGATAAATTAATAAACATTCGTGTATGGTGCAGTCGAGCAACGGCGGGGCGGCAGGCGGCGCGAACAACGCCGGCGGCAAGAGCTATGCGGCGCAGGCGGGCGGCGGGGGGGCGGCTGCCGCAGGGGGCTACCACGCCCCACCACCATTCCCCCACCACGCCCAGTGAGTACTTTGGTCGTTGTACTCTCTACCTTGTGGGCTTTGCGATGGTCTATCCGCACCTCCAATGTCATTGCCGAAGTTATTAAATAGATAATTTTAAATTGTTTTTTGCTTTAAAAGAGCCAGTGATTTTACAATATTGTTGAATACCCTCCTTTATGTCAATAGATATTTGTTGTTGAGGTATACCCGAGATGAGTACCTCTATCGTTATTCCAATATTTAATTATCTATAGTTAATTGATACATAGAAAATTATTATACCAACTAAACATTTTAAAAGGAGAGTGTTTTTGAATGACAGTGAGTGTAGGGAGTCTGCTGCACAAGAGTGAAAGAGATTCGGGATTCTTGAAGTCCTAGTTAACTAGCTTTGGCCGGCGTGCATGGACCTTTGTTAGCACTGTTATTACTTCTTCGAAGATATGGATTTATGTGACATATTGCCAAACAGACCATCAACCGGGAAGCTGAACGGTGACCCCAGGGCAGCCCCGCTCCCGAGGCAGGGCTTCCCGCCACATCACCATCATGTGAGTACCAAATTTTTTAACATTAACCTTACTAAAATATGTTTATTCAGGATTTAATATTGTTTAGTTGTTTGTTGTTGAATGGGACGGGACACCTCTAAGCATTAAGCGCATACGTTCACTTCCTAATGGCCCATGAACTATAAAGGTCAAATGAACTATACTGTAAGACATTGAGATTGTCATTCACTCGAATTGAAATGGCATGTAGACTGAGAGGGAAACCCGCCTTTATTAGCAGAGCCCGGCGGGCGAGAATCGAGCGCGCACGCACGCGCCCGCGGAGCCGCGCGAGCGGCGCAACGACGAAGTGCAGGTGCGTTCATCAACTCTTTTATTATGTGAAAAGAGTTGTCAAGCGAGCAGGCGGTTCACCTGATGTTAACTGAATACCGCCGCCCATGGATATGTGCAACGCCCGACGGCTCTCAGATGCGTTGACAAAGCTTAATAATGTGGTTTACCACCGTCATCGAACCGTTACGAACTCGGCACCTTCGAGAAGAGAGTGTTACCTTTCCCGAGAGGCCGGCAGCGCATTTGTAAGACTGCATCACTTGTATCTTTAAAAAAAATCTCACCGGACGAAACGCGAAAGTTTAATAATTCAAATTAATTTCTTCAGGCAATTAATTAGGACGAAAACGGAGAAAGAAAGATGGCCACCAGAGCAGGTTTAATTTATACTGTAAAATTGTAAACATCTGTAGTATTACTTATATTTTTATTAAATTTTTGTATTGTGTTAAAATTTCGTGGCCGAATCGTTCAATACAAAGGCGATTTCGCAGGAGCTGCGCAAGTTTGGGCAGGAGTTCAAGCTGGTGTCGAGCGGTGCCCCGCTCCAGCATCAGCACCAGCACCAGCAGCAGTCGCAGCACCAGCAGCAACCGCCGCACCAGCACCAGCACCAAGCACCGCAACAGCACCAAGCTCCGCAGCAGCAGCCGCATCAACCGCACCAGCCGCCCGCCAATCCCCAGCCGCCGGTAGGTCATATTTATTTTAACAACTGTTAAGCTATACGACCCTGCGATCTGGTGACAGTTCCAAACATTTAAAAGATCTACAATAAACTCACTTGTCACTCACAGTCTAGATAATCCTTAAAATGGATATTGTTTTGTTGAACATAATTTGATGTGTCAGAACTTGAACACGTTACGTTAACTTGAACAAGCCTAAGTTGAATAACAGAAAGAATAATATTATTTGTCTTACTGCAATAATTGAATTTCGGGCTCTGTCATTCAATTTCTTTGCGATTTAAAAATATAAAAAAAACTGGACAAACACCCAGATACGAAATAATTATCTGTAGGTCACACTTGTTTGGGAAGCAAGCGAATCCACGACCTCCGTCGCTGAAGCCAATACTTTAGCAACTGTGCCATGTAGTTGTTACTACTAATGCATGGGTATTTCATGACGTGGTGGCCAAGATATGTTTTTCGGCGCCGGGTGTGTGGGTTCGATTACCGCACGAGGCAACTATTTGTGTGAGCCACAGATAATCGTTTCAGACCTGAGTCTGCCCACCCTAAACACAGACCACGATAGACCTTCCCGCCCAAAATACATGTCGGAGGAGTAAAAGTGTTATTTGTGCAGCTGCCGCCGCCGGCGCCCAGCCCGCCCGAGGTGTCGGCCAACGCGGGCTCGCCCTCCGACCCGCCCAAGCGCGAGCGCCCGCCCAAGCAGCACTCGCCGCCCGCCGCCCACAAGGTGCTTCTCTACTCTTTCTCCCTCTCACTTCTTTTACTCCGCTCTCTCATTGGTCGATTGAAATTTCTTCATTGCACCAAAAAGTTTTTACAAACGCGAAATTAATATTTAGCATTAGCATTTTCTTCCAGTTGAATGAAAAAGTGGCCAATGAGCTGGCAGGTCACCTGATGTTTAGTGATAACGGCTACTCATGGACATTAACAACACCTGTAGGGTTGCAAATGTGTTGCCATCTTCAAAAAAAGTGGGCCCCGGCCCCATAGTACTTGCCCAGACGGACTAACAGTAAACACCGTTGAAAATTCCTTTTGCATAAGTTTTGTAATGTTTAGAGATATATCATCATAGAGGGCAGAGAACTAGACCAATAGAAAAAAAATCAATCAAAAGGTTTCTAAATTTCCTGTAGTGACAAATGTCAATAAACATGAAATATAACCAAATCTCGATTGTAATGTTATATCCAATGGTAAGTTATAATGGCTTAAAATTTCTGATCTGTTATTATTTGAATCCCATTGATTTGTGCTTAAATAGATGATGTCAAAAATGTTTATTTGGTATTTACTGTACATTAGCACGATTACCATTTCCAATCCGTCCATCCGATTTATATTAAGGATTTGCAAGAATTTTCTGTTTGAGTTTTGTTTTGAGTTTTGTGGCATAAAAGATTCTATGAAAAAAAAAATGATATGCTGTACGATACAATATTATGAGGAAAAGAAAGTTTGTCCTCCGTTGTAACGAAACGGAAATGTACATTTGCCACTCGGACGAGCGAACGATTGCTCCTGCCGTCAGCAGGGCGCGGCGGAGGAGGGGCCGGCGGAGGAGCGAGGCGCTTCGCCCTGCGCGTCGCCCGCCATGGAGCGCGCCGCCGCCACGCTCAAGAAGTCCACGCTCAACCCCAACGCCAAGGAGTTCAACCCCAGCGCCAAGCCCTTCACTCCGCGCAGCCCCACCACGCCCAACCCCAGCAGGTGATCCTTTACCGCCCTCAAATCTCTCCATCGATTGTCACAGCTGGTTCATAAACCTCCTCTTTAGTGTGCCCTATTACAGCGAATGCACTTTTTCAAATTTTACAGTGAATCTTTTATTTTTATTTTTATCGTTTTTGAATTTATTTACACGTTTTAATTCCATATTAATTCCATTTAAGTTCCATATTGAGCGTAAACTAGCACTAAAAATAAAAAAACAAATTTCAAAGCGGTAATGTAACAAACTCAATGGTAAAATTAATAGTGAGTCGGTACTGAATGACTCAGTAATGTTAAGTGCAAGTTTAAATGTACCATTAACAACATACTTATATAGCAAAACATTTTTAAGGATATTAATTTTATAGTGTTGTTTTCTATACTAAAGATGAAATTGTATTGTTACGACAAAAATGTTCGTACAAAAATTAACGAAATATTTTGAGGATTTGAACTTGTGCTCAGGGATGATGACGAGTTGTATCTACTTTGTTTTTTTTTTACATTTTTAAGCAAAGTTTAGTATCATCTACTCTTAAATTTTCTTTACAACAAACAACAACTTTCTCATAAAACATTTAATAACTAAATATTTGAAAAATAGAAAATGGTTGTTAGCTGTAAAAAAAAACAATACAAAGCGAAAACGAAAAGCTTTTCTTCCATTTTTCTACAATTTTCAAAATAACAAAACATGTTTATGCTCAAGAAATGTAGTAAGTTGTTCAATTTGCCACTGGATACCCTCTTTAAAAGACTTGAAAGAAATGTTTACTCGCTGACTTTTTCAATTCCTCCCCTCATGACCTTATTAAAAGATACGTTTGGGATGATTTCTGTAGTAGTGATCTAGAAGATACATTGTAGTGATCCAAGAGCAACGGTTTCTGATGCCCTTCTGTTCCCGCAGGCCGCACACGCCCGGCACGCCCGTGGGCCTGGGCGTGGGCGTGGGCATGGGGCTGAGCGGCGTGGGCGTGGGCGTGGGCGTGGTGGGCGCCGGCGTCAGCTACGTGCCGGCGCCGCACCCGCCGCCGCCGCACATGGTCAGTGCGCGCACCCGACTCGCATATCTCATCACACAAAATGCTTCTTTCGACGCGCCCATAATGTTTAACTAAACAACTCGGAACTATAGTTATTGATTGCATTTAACGTCTCTTTTCACAAGCAGTACTAATTACCGGTACCCGGGTTAAAATTTTCACTTATTTTTCTTTTGTTACGCTAAGGAAGTATCACATCTTATTTGTGTTCATTAGTGCAAACACACATTTTCAGTATTGTTAGTAAGTCTGACAATAATGGTATTTTCACAAAATGTTCTTTTTTTAGATTTTTGTCCTGTATCATCACACTTAGTACAAATTAATATGTTCATTCTTTTTCACAGTTGATGATCACATCCTTTTATTAAGAAATTAATGGCTTCTTTGGAGCCATTGTACAGTTGTAAACTTTGATGCTGCTGAATCTAGATAATACCCATCAATGACAATTTTTTTTTCTCATATAAAACTATTTCGAATATTGATATTATTCTTTGTTAAATATGTGTTTCTAAAACATTTATAATACTTAATTGCGTAAATATAAATAAAAGCGGTATGGTTTTGAGTTCTGCTGCAAGGGTTTTGTAAAAACTAAATTATCTTAAATGATAGATCCAAAATTATTTCATGTGTCTTGACAAGTAAACTCTCAAGTACCATACAGCGTGTCTTTACAATCGCGACAATAAATGAACACACATATAGAGGATAACTTTTTAAAATTGTATTTAATATTTCCATTCTTTAAACATCAATATCGAATTTTCCAAAACAAAGAATTTTAGAACAACCTTATGTATAAAACTGTAACGTAAATTTCATTTGTAAAGGTCACAAAGCATATGAATGGGTTGAATGAATTTAAAAGAGACAAAACATACTGTTAGAAGGAGAGGCTTGTAATGCGACGTTGTGGCAACGAATGAAAAAGTCTCTGAATGTATGAATCAGTCAGTTGTAGTTGTATAGGTGTTACAAATTTTGTTACTTTTTTACTTAGTTTGTTTGAAAAAAAAAATATTTTTTAATCATGGATTTTTTTTAAAGTTAATATTTTTTGATGATTATTGGCAAGTAGCGTTAGACATGTGTTCATTTATTATCACGATGGTAACTGACATGCTGTATATCAAAATGAACTTATCTTTTTAATGATTTTTTATACCGCTATAAACAATTAACTTTATATACGTAAACGATATATAGAACTATAAACAATTAAATTTTATATATAATTTATTATTATATATAAAATTAAATTGTTTATACTTCTATTTATTTTATTTTAATTTTATATTTTGAATTATATGTATATGAGAATATCATTACTAGATGATTGTTAACTTATCTCAGTTTACCATCTTGCTTATCATAAGGTCAACAGTCAAGCACTTTTTGGCCTTTTCGATAACAAGTATTTACAAATATACATAGATATTATATACGTTCATAGACATGTTAGCATTGTGGAACTAACAAAACCGCTGTTGCAGGTGGCAGCGGTGCCAGCGTACGCGATGGTGGCAGCGGCGGCGGCCGCGGCCCAGCAGCCACCGGCCTACCTGCCACACCCTCACCCGGTAACTATCACGATTTTTATGCTCCCAGTATCCGAGTATCGATCTCTCGTCCGATAACTGCCGCCCATTGACGTTGCAACACCCATAGGGTTGCAGATGTGTTGTGAGCATTTTAAAAGGTGGACCTTTTGAAACTTTTCAACGGTATCTGTTAACATTGTCCCATGGCGATGCACTACGTTTAGCAGTGGCAGGGCCAAGCGGCCTCGGCTGTTGCACGAATGGGCAGGCTCGTCCGGGTAAGTGCCACGACCTCACAGAAGACCGGCGTTAAGTGGAAGTATAGTAGTTTCGTTTTTGCGTTTCGTCTCGTGAGTGAGGTTAAAATCGGCCACCGGGCTATTGGGCACGGCCACCACGTGCGATGGCATTGTACTGGTTACGACGACCCTATTGGCGTAGTAGACGGTGAACCCGTCTCTTGCACCAGAGGGTGTGGGTTCGATCCACACTACTGAACTAACATTATGATGTACACAGTGTTTTCTATGATTTGTATTAATTTACAAAAGAGAAGTACATACCCATAGTACAGGCTATGCTTGGTTTGGGACAAGACGATATGTCCCGAAATATTTATTACATTGCGATATTCATATAAATATTGAGCATGAATTTGAGCGTCATTTGGCCGGGGTTGACTAAAAGGGTCGATGGGTCGCGACTCAGATGGAGATGGCTTGCGAGTGCCGTCAGTTCGCGCCGCCCATACTGGTCGTGCCGGACAAGAGGGACCGTCACGAAGCGGTGAGCTGGGACGGCCCTGGAACTTTCTGGAGCGTTCCAGAACGTTCTAGAATGTTCTAGAGACCGTTTGCGACGTTTGCCGTGCAATTTGACTCCGCCGTGTGGCATTATTAACCCTTTGCACATGATTGTGAGGCGTTTAATCGTTTGTCCTCTTGAATGGGTAACGCACGTCTACACTTGTCAAGTAACATCGTTTTGCATATAGAAGTGAGAAAGTCTAATATTTATATTGATGAAATTTAACTATAATGAAAAAATAAATTTAATCTATAGTATAGTTTTACAAACTGCAAGTATATAATTTTGAAATAATTAAAGAAACATGATATATCTGTGAATAATTGCAGAAAAAATGTTCTTAGTATGAATGCGGTTAAAAATTTAACCGTGTCCATAACGATAATTTATGTATAAAAAAGTAAAAGTTTATTGAGTTTTATATAATGTCGTGTTCTTCCTTGCTTAAGCTTAAAAACTTAATCGCAATTAGGGAATCGAATATGTGACAGAAAAAAAGTCAGAAGCAAAAAAAAATAATAGCATTTTGCTACCGAAGTTTTAGAAATTTAATCCTTGAACATTTATTTAATACAAACGTATTTTATGTTTCCTTCCATATAATTTCACAGACTTTTTTAATGAACTTTTTCTTGACATTTCCATAGCACTAGCACCAATAATGGATGTCATACTGACCTTTGCTTGGGATTTACCGTTATAAAAAAGAGGATATAAAAGAAATCAAACGAATATAAGTACAAAAAAACGAATTAAAATGTGAATAATATACGTATATTTTATTATTAACCTGTTTGGATTTGATCTTTTTCAACTAAAAGTGTGCTGTGTGCTGTTTTTTTTTGTTTTTGGTTATTTCTAATGACCTGTCGTTTACTGAGTGCGTTGATTAATACTAAACCTAACAAGAGTTTTTTTGAACAAAACAGACGGTAAGTAATCGCTACATTTCAAGTATCATTAAACGTCCGGGATATTATTGATTGTATGGTTTGAACTGTGAAAAATTCGTTAGATACTAGAAAAAACTCTACTCGATATTTTCATAAAGCCTCACAAAATCAGTTAAATGTGGAATAATTTTATGTCCCATAATTATACAGTTAGGTTCAAATACCATTTGTTACAGGAAGATAAGGTAGTAGCTACTCACCATGTAATACCAACGAAACGAAAAATGAAGACAATCGTTTTAAAGATTGAGCAAATTACCGGTCACAATAAAAACATTTATTAATCGAAATGTTCAATTAGATATATTTTTTTTCGAAAACCCAACAACACGGACTGTACGAGAGAAATAAGACTGGAATGCTTTAAAGATCTCTCTACGGATAGTTGTATTCTTTTCTATAAGAACCAACGACGCAGACCGCGCGACACGTGTCATATTTATAAAAAAAGAAGACACGTCAGATAGCCTCCTCCGGCGCCAGCCGCACCAGCTCCTCGGACAGTGTCCACAATTGGGCCGCCAGCTGGGCGTCCCTCGCCCTGGGCGCCGCCCTCGCCTCCCTGCACTCCTCGAAGTAGCCGCCGCTGGCGTCGGCGCACTCGTCGGCCACCGCCAGGTAGACGGCGGTCTGGGCCGCCTCGCGCGCGCTCCGGAAGAAGGCGCCCAGCGCCAGGCTCCTGAGCGCCTCCAGCGCGGAGCTGCTCCGGTACAGCGCGGTGTTGGCCTGTCCGGGGTTCAGGCTGTTGGCCGTCACGCCGCCGCCGGCCAGCCGCCTCGCCAGCTCGTTGCTGAACAGCACGTTGCACAGCTTGCTGTTCGCGTACGCCTGCGGATAGGCACGTCGATATATTACGATCCGATATATCGATAGAAAATATTCGATGTCGAAAATCGTATCAAAAACGATACTTTTTGGCAAATTCGAATAGCAATCCGTCACGGAGTCCGTAGGTGTCGAATATTTAATACTTCACATTTTTTTTGGACAACGCGGTGTCTACTATTCAATTAGGTATATATTCAATATATCGATATTTTTCTCTTCGATATATTTAGGCCGATATTTTTACAAATATCGATATATAGACTTCTTCTTTATACTGTAAAATATATACACTGTAATATATAATATATACACTGTAAAATTGAACTATTTTACGGATTTTATCGCGTTCAATTATGTTTTTAAATCCGCAACGTCGAACCTTCTCCAGCGTACATGGTCACGGACAGATATATCGATACTTAACAATATCGTTATATCTCTTCACGTTCAACATCCCCACCTGAAAGTATCCCTCGGAGATGTCGTTGACGTCGCGCACCCTGCCGATCCTGTGCACGGCGGACGACACGACCACGACACGCGACGGCGCTGACCTCCTCAGCATCGGCACCAGCAGCACGGTCAGCAGGAACGGCCCGAAGTGGTTGATCTGCATGTCCTTGACGATGCCGTCCACCGTCATCGTCCTGCGGGGGCAGATGGCGCCCGCGTTGTTGATCAGCACGTCCAGCTTGGCCTCCGTCCTCTTGAACTCCTCCACGAAGCCCCTGACGGACTTCAGGGAGGCGAGGTCTAGGCGGATGAACCTCACGTGAATGTTCCTCGTCTCGCGCACTATCTGTCGCACCGCCATCTTGCCCCGCTCCTCGTCGCGGCACGCGACTATCACCTTCGCCCCCCTCCTCGCCAGCTCCAGGGCGGTCTCGTACCCTATGCCCCCGCTGGCGCCCGTCACCACGACGACCTGGCCCGTCATCACCGTGTCGCAGTAGCACCGCCCCGTCGTCAGCCTGTTGAAGGTCTTTATCAACAGCAGCGCTGCCGCCGCCCACGCCAGCCACCACATGCTGGTCGCCTCGCAGTCCGGTGGTCTACAGTCGAGCGGTCGATTTGTTCGATGTCCGTTCTAATTTCATCGTCCCCCAAACACTGGCGGCAACGAATATAACTATAAATAATCGAATCGAATTACTCCGAATATGATATCGATCGGGAAAAATGTTTGTTTTATTGAAAATCAATACACAAGTAAACTACGCACGGACTCAATCTTAGGTACTATTCAACGCGGTACGGACAACCCCGCAGTACGAACACCGTCAGCGCACTGATAAACTTTGCATCGGGAAGACTCATAAAATCGAGCAGTCACCAATTCGTTCGCGCAACGAGTCTCGAATGATTCAATGAGACATCGAAAGGAGTTTCATAATGTTACTAGAACATTCTTTACTGGCGTCGTTAGCGTGGGTATTGTTTTTTAACCGTCTTCAAAAAAGAAGGAGGTTCTCAATTCGACTGTATTTTTTTATGTTTGTTTGTCACCTCAGAACTTTCGGCTGAGTGAACGGATTTTGATGATTCCTTTTTTATTTGAAAGCTGGTGCTTCCCATGTGGCCCATATTAATTTCGTTGGTATTGGATCTTGGGCTCCGAAGATGCTTAGGGAACTCCTGAAAATCAATTATAAAATGAATACAGAGCGAGATTTGAACTCGGTTTTGTTTTTCGTTTGTAAAAAAAATGGTTATTGATGTTGTAGACGATGTGGAAGACGAAAACAATATGTAACATTTGAATTATCACATCATTCGTAAATGAAAAGCATATATGACTGTACCAAGATTCACGGATCGACAAACGTGACGTGTGCGCGATATATCTAAAGTTGTTTTAATGCTTTAAATAAGACCGCCGTAGTAATTTATCGCGTTTAATTAATTCGTTGACGAGGCGAAATCCATCGACTCGCTGACCGCGTTATCAGCTATCTCCAAGCGATATCAAGACGTCCTTGTGAGGCCGTATCTTTCTGTTATTAATAGACTTTTTTTTTTTTTGGCGGATTTCTATTCAAACTGATGTATTACAAATACAAGAGAATATGTACTAATGCACTATTCACAAAAAACTCGCATTAATTTGTGTATTCCTTGGTCTAAATTACTATAGTTGTTTGGTTACATAATTCGTGGGGGTCAATAGAGTCATTAAAACAACTTCCTCGTACGTTTCGGAGAGATAACTGGAATCGAATTTAATTCGTTTAATTTTTCATCGGAATCACTATGCTAATCAAGGTTTCGTCCGCTAATTTTACAAGGCGAAACAAACACGTACAAGTAATTTTGTCAATCAAAATATCAATACAAAATTCATCTCCCTAAAGTCTACATTAATATTGAGATTAGGTACTCGGATCAATGAAAGTTGGACAGCATTGCTTATATTTCTAATCCGTTATGGTGAAGAGACAGTGCTTGTTTGTCTTTGCAATGCATTTAAATAATGCTACAGACTTATTGTAAAAACCAGTCAATTGCGAGTCGGACTCGAAAGGTTCCGTAACGTTATCTATAAAAACGGCAAAAAAAATCATGTCCGTTGTATAGCGTCCCTATTATTTTTTTTATTCTGTTTTAGTATTTGTTATTATAGCGGCAACAGAAATACATCATCTGTGAAAATTTCTACTGTCTAAATATCACGGTTCATTATATACAGGCTGATGACAGACGGACAGACAGCGGAGTCTTAATAATACGGTACCGTTTTACTATTTGGGTACGGACAATGCCCTCTTAGACAATATCGGGGTCCCTTGGGCACACAAAAATTAGGGGTCCTGATGGAAAGTAAAAAAATTTAATAACAAAAACATTTTTTTCTGCTATTATGTTATATTTTTTATTTATTCTATAAACTTCTGTCGGAATATATTTATAACATAAAATTGTATAGTTTAAGCGAATACGTAGGCCATGCGGCCAATGCCCCTCTGACAACAGGGGCCCCGTGGCTTTATGCTAAAGACGGTACTGGGTACGGAACCCTAAAAACTGTCTCATTCCGATTTCTCCCTCGGCAGCTGTACGGCGCCGCGATGGGGGGCGGCGCTGTCGCCGGCGGGGCGGGGCAACACGGGCCCCTGCCCACGCAGCAACAGAGAAACTACAGAAAGGGTAACGTACAACAGTTATCAATCTAGTTGTTATCATTTCACTGTCAGCAGCATTCATAGGGTCCTCTCGCGCGCTTTAAGTCGGGCACACGCGGCGCACGTCGTCGAATGCTCCGTGGTGTCGGTAACAGCACCGCATTTGCACTTGAACTTGGACATCGTCCGTAGTCGTACCCTGATAGTTCAGCACTTAAAATTAACAACCGCGACGGTTGACTGGATAGGCTGTGTGAAGAGCGATATGCCTGTGAAAGGGGCGGGTATTGAGGAAACCGGAGGGAGAGGACACGCTGTGCCGAGCCCACGTAGTGTGGGATAAGGGCGGGAGAAGGAAGAGGAAGAAGGGAAGTAGGTGGATATACTGAGGGGGCGCGGTGTTCCGTCGGCAGTGGGCGTGGGCTCCGGGGTGCAGGTGGCCGCGGCGACGGGGCAGCCGCTGCTGGCGCCGGCGCCGATGCAGCAGTTCGTGCCCTACCCCCACCCCCACCCGGGCCACCCGGCGCACGCGGCGCCGCAGCCGGCGCTCCAGTACCAGCACATGGTGAGTCCGCCCCCACGCCCCCACACGCCCCATCGGCACATTTTTATGCGACATGAAATTTTATGAAGCATTATTACACTCAACGTTGGGGAAAACACCACCCCTTCCCTCCCCCCAGTGTCTATACTTTTCGAACATTGGGGGAAAACACTCAAAGATCTTATTCAACATTACACTCGTTTATCGATATTCAAAACACTACTTGAAAAGAAGCGAAAGAAACTATGCGAAATATTTTCAAGGCCGTTATTTGACAAGGAAACATGTTTACAATGGGCTTTAACTCCTTTTAAGCCTGGAGCGATCAGTCCATTACCAGGGTGTGCTATCATTTAAGTAATCGTCGTCTTTTATGTGAGAAAATGTCGAGCACGTTGGCGATTAAGTGTGATAACCGCCGCCCATGGACTTACAACACCCGTAGGGTTGCAGATGCGATGCCACCTTTTAATAAAGCGGGCCCCTGCTACCTCACTCACCAGGCGAAAGGCAGAAATATAACACTTCCTCTTCACGCCGGTCTTCTGTGGGGTCGACAGTGCGACAGCGAAGACTGTCGCGTGGCCCTAACACTAGTGTAACAAATATTCATACAATTCGATGCGATTACCAAACGAGATGTTTCAGCAACTACACACTCCAATGTAGATGTCAGTCAGGGGGTGTAATAAACTTAATTTCAATGATTCAGTAATCTCTCAATCCACGTGGTACCGCGACCTTTGCTTGCGAGTTTGACGTTATTATCAACCGACACGCGTGTGTGTGCAATAGAGTACACTTCTCATTAGATTTCAATGAAGAAATTTGCTAATTTAGCAAAGACATTTCCTTATTGATTGTGATTCCTTACAGTCTATTTAAATTATATCAAGCTTATTACTATACTATCTTAAATTTATATAATACTCGCTGTCCCGCGCAACTTCGTCTGCGCCATCTATTGGATACTTACTCAATCTAGCCGATAAGTGTACCTTACACCGCCATCTGTTAGAATCTTAGGGAATTCACAGATAATTATATGTTATATCTCTTTGTCATAATAAAACAAAGAATTTGCAATAAAAAATATTGAGACTACAAATGTAAACTATCTAACTGTAACTAATGACGCATTTCCGCGTACTTTGTTATCGCAAACAGAACTTAACAACTCAGGATATAAATTGCGCATTTTACACGAATGAAATGTACGTATGCCTACCAAGCTTGGTTAACCCGATGCCAAGTGACAGATGAAACGCATAAGTGTATCGCGTCAACTTCACGCCGCTGTTCTGTGAGGTGGCGGCACTTACCGGGACGGGCCTGCCCATTCGTGCAACAGCGAAGACTGTTGCGTGGCCCTGCCACACTCGGCGCTCGTAAAGCAAACACGCTGAACGAGGACGTTGTGGTCGCGCAGATGCGGATGTACGGCGGCGGCGTGGCGCCCGGCGTGGGCGGCGGAGTGGGCGTGGGCGGCGGCGTGGGCGTGGGCGAGGGCGCGGCTTACGCGCCCCAGGCCCCGTCGCCGGCCGCCGCCTCGCCCGCCCTCTACCCGCCCCCCTCGCCCGCCCACACGCCCCACCCCCACCAGCACCCGCACCCGCATCCCCACCATCACTACCAGCAGCCGCCCTTTCAGGTCAGCACAGCACAGATCCCTACATGACTTAAGTTTACAATATAAGTTTTAATATATCACAGTCGATTAATATTAATTTAATAAATGAATTCTTTAAAAAAATTAGATTCAAAACTGTATATTCTAAGATGATTAATTGACGAACTTTTTTCTAATTTTCCTTTATTTTGACACGTACTAAGATGTTACTGTTATTTTTTTTTTAATTTACCGTTTTTGTGCATCACAGCCAATAGGTTTTCATTACGTGGTTGTAGTTTTCTATTTCGCGTATTCGTTATGCAGAAGAAAAAACAATATTTGATATCTATTTCGCTCCTGTTGAATTGGACAGCGCAAATAGCTAGTTCTGTTCTGTTCCCGGTATAATTATACATGTGAATGTTTACCATGTAAGTTTTCCTCGGTACGGGGGGGGGGTCGTGGGTTCGATCCCCACATGGGACAAGTATCTGTGTGACCCAAAAGTAGTTCTCCCGGTGTTGGTCCACGTAAAATTCGTACATTTAAAACAACCGTACAACACAGAATAAAATTACCCTTTGAAAGACACTGTTTAAAAAGAAAAGAACAAAGAGCCTTCCCTCTGTCATTACAGGTACTATGCCCACTGATGGGCCCGGCGAGCGCAGCTCACCATCACCACCACCACCACGTGGCGTACCTGAACCACGCGCCGCAAACCGCGTCGCCACCTCACCACCCACATCCCATACAGGTGATTAACGATGACTGATCAACGTCAAGGTATTCTCTGACTTCGTATAGATTCTTGCATCATCATCCTCTTGCCCTTATCCCACCTAAGTGGGGTCGATATAAGATGTGAATCATATTGTATGTGGTTTCGACTATGTTTTTTACGACCTGTCGCCTGCCTGATGTCAACTCTCCTTGGGATGTTAACATTCAGAATCGGAACAATTATTTGTGGGTCACACAAATACTTGTCCCGTGTGGGGATCGAACCTACGACGGAACACTCCGAAGGCAATAACCTAGCCACCGAATCATTCGTATAGATTCTTGCATTTTACGTATTCCGATATCATTATTTCTCATTTGGTGATTTTTTTATCCGAGTACCATAACTTCTATAATTCTTGATAATTTTGAAGCTTATTTTTATCGCTGTTGGCGATATACGAATAGTAGTGTAAAATATTGTTTTTAAATTAAAAGAAACTTTCGCTTTAAATTTTTTCATTGAGAATGTATGACAATGCCATCTATTGACAACTTGTTTAAATGAGAGCCAAATAAATAGATTAATTACATAATATAGTACTACTAATATATTACCACTGGCTGATCACGGATCAACTAGTCGATATGATATTGCCGAACTTGCGCATACCTCTGAGTTGCGAGTTTGTGTGTGTGTGTGCGTAACGCGCGCACACCCGTGTTCGAGTGGTTCGCGGGCACTCGACGTGCGTGTGCGTGTGCGCGCGTGCGTGCGTTAAACGGGTCCTCGCGTGTGTGTGCGCAGCAAGTGCTGCTGCCGCCGCAGCACCAGACGAACGGCGGCTCGTCGACGCCGGGCGTGCACTCGGCGCACCCGTAACGCGCGCGCCGCCCCCCTCCGCCCGCGCGCGCCCCCGCCCCCGCCCCCGCCCGCGCCCGCGCCGCGCCGGCACGCACCCGCCGTGCTAGGCGCCGAGCGACTCTGCGCCCTCCGCCCACCGCGCAAGGCACACACTCGCCCGCACCGCGACCGCCCCCCCCGCTCCCTCCCGCTCCACTCGCCCCGACAAACTGAACTTGAGCCGTGTCGTCGATTATCACTGTTCTATTCTCACAATATAAGCGCGTAGGTCGCCGGTAGTGTGGAACTTTATACGGAATATTGTATGTGTGAAAAAAATACGATAAATTCTATCGGCATATTAAGTATAATTATATGCGAACTTAATGCGGGCTATTCAAAATTAACCATAAAAACATTTAACATGACGAAATTGCTTCAACGAATTTGAGATAAACGACTGATATTTTGAGTGAAGCAAAATTTTAAGCTATTATTAAGCACTTATATATATATATATATATATATATATATATATATATATTTACGTTTATCTTTTATCTGTACATTTAGCGATATTTTCCAATATGAACTATAAGATATATATTTATATATATATATTGTATATTAACAAAAACGAAACTCATAAATTTTGCTCATATGAAAAGGATTTAAAAGTGTTCCGCATAAAGTTCATTTTCCATCGATTGTCGATGGAGTTTATCAGAGTTCAAACTGGCAGTGGTCGTCTTCAGTTCAGTGTGTTAGAGTTGACATTTTAATCGGGATCTTCGGGGGGGAGGGGAAATCGTGAAATTTGGTGAACGTGAATTATGGGTGAAACAGGGTTCGACAATACGACTATATCACCACAAATGCTGTGTTGAAACTGCATGATATAACGCGACGGACGATAAGACATTTCTGACAGTAAAGAAGTTTGTTGTGTTTTAACCTTGTGGCACCCAATTCTTTGCCTTTACTCAATGTAAATCACGTTGACTAGAAATAAGGAATATGTTTACGAAGGCGTATGTTATTTAACTTAGTGTTAACATCGATGTGAATTTGTTGTGAGTGTTAGATTTAAGAGCTGCTCCACGAATATGCCGCTGGCAACAATCGCCAGTCTTTGCTATTATCCACATGGAGGAAAACATCTAAGTTACCAGCGGAGATGCTACATCTACGGCCATCTTGGTCGATAACCGCAGCACACTCGGTTAGCTTAGCACGGCGGGACAATGGATATTCGACAAGTTAATTATAAGAGTTAATAATTGGTGCGCGCTGATGCGCGGGTTACGAGCAACGCTGGGTGCAGGGCTCTTGTATTATAGGTAGATAAATTGCTCCCCGCCGTGCGACGCCGAAGGGGATTGTGCCCATTGTTCAGCTGGAGACCGTTTCGAATCAACACCAAACCTGGCTTCAGCTAGGCGGCTCAGACGAGATTTTTACCATGTTTCCATCCACAAACCAAGATCGATTCGATATACGCTGGACGTTCCATAGACGCTTACGTCCCAATAGCCTTAGCGAGACCATTGTGGCGCTGGGCACAATCTTCGGACGCTCGTGGCCGGCGAGGGAGCGCAATGTATTTATTTAGCGTTACGTTAGTCATTAAACGAACCCTCCGCTGATTTGATTTCCAATTCTCGCATCTCGTGCGCGGACCCGGACGACGTTTGTCCGTCGATTCGTTTGTTGTTCGCGCACGGTGCGTGTGTGCGTGCGTGTCTGTTCTGGTCTTTTGGGCGCGGTGAGTTTTTCGCGGTATCATTAGATTTGCGAAGTCTGTTCATCTCTTGTACCTTCCCCCGTGCTTCTCTTTCTCATTTTGCATTTCTCTCATCTCCCAACTGCCTGACATCTGCCAACTGTAGCACCTGAATGAAATTTGCACGAATAGATCGCGAGATCAATAATTATGCTGAATATCGAGATAATTGTCAGTGAACATATAATTTTTTTTACCAAGAAGTCAGATTGCACGATAGAACAGAGTGACAGATAACAACAGATCCTTTTCCTCTTAAACGTATCAGAACTAAACATCTCGCTGAGTCAGAAAAGTTTCACTAACACGACTGCGAAAAATTCACCGCGCCCGCGTGTATGTATGTTATATTTATGAATATTTATTTCTACGTTTACTGCCTTTCGAAGTTGTGCTATACCGCGTTTAGGATTGTGCGTGCGGGACAAGTCTAGGGATGTGACAATAAAACAAATTGATAGAATGTAAGGGATGATGTTTTACTGTCGCCTATACGTGCGTTGCGTTGTCTCGTTGGTTGGTTTAGATTATCATTATCGGAGTCCATTTAAAAGGGGTTGTTAAATTCAAATCGCTGTGCGATCGATACGCACGGACTAAGGCTGCCCCCGTACGTTCACTTTGCAATTCTCACACTGCCATCGTAACAAATTGTCCTAAACCGCCATTTGGACTCGAAAATGCACCCGCGACTGACCGCAAACTAACATTAGTTGTTGTTAGAAGGGGACCATTGCTGTTATGAATATTTGTTGGTTGAGTGGTTTTATATGTGAGAGATAGGGTGAAGTGTGTGGGTGAGCATTGCTCTGCTATTTCGGGTGCTTTCTGTTTGATTTTGGATTCTTGGTCTCGATCATTTCTGTTTCACTACACTTATTGACTCTGTAAGTATTGAGGTTTTCTGTTAATCGTTACAAAAATCTCTTAATTTGGCCAAAATTTCTGGATTATTTCAAGCTTTTCCATGCCACGCTTTTTACTACATTTTAGACAAATTTGTTACGATGACAGATTACAATTAAGTGTTTAGGTAGGGTAAAATCATTTGTGTTTCGAATGAATCGTAACTATGGGCACGACGCAAAATTTAGTTCTTTAAATGAAGAGTTTATCTTTTGTTTTATGTTTACGAATATTGGCTATGTTTTTGTGTTTTCGTTTCAACGAATACTCGCTTCAAGTGAAATACTCTTTAGCAGCGTCATCTAAGCAAGTGCCGCGATTAGACCGGGGCTCGGGTTTAGCCCGGAACCCGGTAGTTTGGTTATTTGTTCGTTTGAATGGAGGGGGGCTCAGTCCATGACCTCCGCGTGGTGCTCCCTGGGTGGCGCCAATTGTGGACAAAAGTATTCGCGCGTTTTCGAAATTTGTCTATAAAGCTGTATTGCGCATCTGTTGAACGCTTCGGTCCCCCCGTCGCGGGAGTTTTTGGATTCGCTTATTTTAGAGATATACAAATATGAATAGAAAATATAATGTCTGTAACATAGTAAGCGTATCGTCTTGTGAAAAATGGTAAATCTCCCATATTAACGGGGAAAAATGGAGAAAAAAAACCTGAGGTTCCATCAATTGTATTAAAGTCGGTACAATCTTTTTAATATGGTCGGAAATAAACGCGTAGTCCTAAAAAAATAGATATTAAAAATAGGCATATTTACAATATACGATAATTTATGGCGTTGCGTTCGTCAGAAGTGTATAAACATCTTTCCTAAGTCCATGGAAATATTTAACACACCTGTACATATGTATATAGATTATATAGATGGGGAAACTTACCTAATGAGAACGGCTACTATTCGTGTATAATTTGTGATGTAAATTAAAGAAAACCATAATATTGAAAAAAAATCACAAAAAAAAATTTGTTTGGAAGAGGCCTACTTGACTCGCGTCATGCCATCGTAGTCACCCCAAAATCCTCTTAAAGCATGACGCGAGTCACCCAGATATATATATATATAACTATTATGTTTTTCTTAGTTTTTTTGTCTCAGATTGTTTTCCTTTAAATTTTATGTCGCGCGAGCGCGTCCTACTGTGTTTGTTTCTAGGAGTGAGATTGGAGAAATTATATGAGCGTTTGTTGATTGTTGTGCGCCGCCGATATGAATGGATATAAATGTGTATGTCTGTGTGCCTGTATATATATAAATATATATGATGGTGATTGTTTTATTTCTCACACGCCGCGCATTCACCGTTCGCGGGTGTAGGCGGAACGCGGGGACGCTTCGGCCATTGCGCGCTGCTTGACAAATGACAGATAACACTGTTTCGATGCGTACTATTCGCAAGTTTGTACGCAAGCGAGGCGTCTCCGCGTCGAATCGGCAGCGATTCTCTTTTAGTTTTTAGCATTGTCGAGGTTCGGTCAACTTTTATTGGTCCGCGACTTTGAATTTTGCGTCTTCTACGCAGCGTGGGCGTTAGACGACGATATATGTGCGGTCTCCGCTGTGACGTGAATCGTCAACGGTCGTATTGATAAACGTAGAACGCCTGTTCGGTTCAATTTCCACGCTAATGATTCTCCAACTTCCGTCGTCTATTTCATTTCGTGGTGTACTCGCTTCTCTCCTCTGTGAACTAGGTAACATGTTAACTACGAACCTTGTTATTTTATAGACTCAGCTGCTCTGTGATTCTATTTCTTACAATCGATGTAAAAAAAAAATGTATACACATATATATTATAGTTTCCTAGTTATGATGAACAACGATGTGATCTTTTAAGTAAACCTTTCGTAGTTGTTTTCTATAAATAATTTTTCATTACGCTCAGGAGAATATTGGATGTTTAATACAACGCTCCAACGAAATCAGAGCCGAATATTTATCGGCCGGTACGAAACTAAGGTTGAATTAACCAAACGTCATTATATAATGTTGTTAAAAATAAAGGTTTACTTATCAGACGTGAATGATGTTTTAATTGAAACGTAAAATTTGAAAATTTAAATTGATCGAAAGTGTAAAATGTAAACGCCTCGGTTGAGGCTGTCTACGAATTTTGTAAGCGATGATAATTATGAGATGAGACGATCAAAGTAACAGCATTGTGAACGTGACGGCTCCACGGACCGTCGCGTGATATTACCAAATAAATGTAAAAAAAAAACAACCTTGCGACACACCGAAACACGTTGCGAAATTGGTTACATGAACTTTGTATAAAACTCGCTTATTTATTCTCGTTTTGTACCTGAAAGGTGATCACATCGATTTCGCCAATGTAAATATCAGCGCGCCGCGGGATACCGTAACGTGCCGTGTACAGTCGGCGGCGCGGGTCGCGCCCCAGAACGGAGTAGTAGCGTCTTCCGCCAAGTGCGTGATCGTCCCAGAGGGCGTCCGCGTCGCCGTATGTACGCGATGTAGATTCTATAACTCGCCCCCATAGATGTGTATCGCCGCCGGGTCGAGTTATAGATGTGTGTCGCCCCTGCGGGGTCGAGGTTACCAGCTGGGAAGGGGCGGGGCCGTGGTGGCGCCGGGCCGAAGGCACCGCGCGGCGCCACGGCCCTGCCCACGCGTGGGAAGACGCAAAGACTGAAGGGCGATAGCCCGGGATTGGCTTTTTGATGGGGTCCTGCGACGACAACACCGGTGCGCCGACGGCGCCGTTCCCGCATTGTGCAACTGTCGGGAGACACGTACAGAGCCGTGTCGAAGGAGATTTTTTTTTTCAATAAAAAAACCATAAAAAAATGTGTTTTGAACACAACAGTCCGGTGTTTCATTTATTCGTTCAGCGCTATCCTCAAGTCCTGAAAGAACGTTGAGGTAATGTTGTCATATTGCTATATAACGCACACTAAGCATGAATCTTAAAATGAAGACAATTTCCATAACAATCTTTATTGATATTATCAAATTGGAATGGATTAAACATGTGATACATTTTTATTCTAATGTATGCAAAGTCCTTAATATAAATAATCCACTTAAACATTAACCATTGTATCATAATGGTCTATATGTATTTACAAATAAATATATTTTTATTACGACAGGTAATATTAAATACATTATGAAAAACTTGTGTAATAAAGAAATCACAGTATTTCTCTCGTTCACACGAGACTGTTACAATAACATAAATTTTTAACTATACATACAAAAATAAATAAAATTCTGTTTAATTAAATCAAAGATACCGCACTAATAAAATTGTGGTTGCAAAAAGCATTAATTCTTCTTAAGAAGTGCAACAAAGTTGTATTTAGTTTGAAAAAAGCTACTACAGTATAAAACATTTAATAAGATAATGAATTAACTATAAATTCGGCGGTTTTTTATCCAATAATGACTTGTCCGCACGATTATACCATATTACAATCTGCACATTTATAAATGTTGATATTTTAAAAAATAAAAAAAACTTACCAAAGTATGACATTACATTTCTGTTTAATTCAATATATAAAACAATCGTAAAGTTTACTCGGAACGTTTTTTCGAAAACCACTGAAAAATCCTATAGATATATTTTTTATCACTAATTAAGTCAAGGTCTCATCAACATTTTTGAAAACTGTCAATTACGTTGAGGAGAATCTTAAAACTAGAATAAAGTAAAATGTAGAGGTTATTCTACTTATAATATATTTTTTCTATAATTTCCGAAGACGGGTTTCAACAAAATTATTAAAACTTTCGTGGGACATTATTAACGAAATAATAAGACGCCTGAACTCACGTATCGGTGTGTACCGACTAGTTTCTGACCCATCGGATGTTACTTAAAAATCAGCACTTTTTTTGCAATTAAGACCGTCATAGCTTTGAGAGCAGGATTCGAACTAGATGCTCGAGAATACCAAGTGAGCGCCCGTACACCGAGCGAATGTATCCATTTTTTTATTAAATTCTAGATATGAATAATGTATGTATAAAAATGATAAACATTTAAAATCACTCTTAATTAATTAAATACATTCATTTGAACTTATCTCCAAAAGTGCATGATTTATGGGCAAGTCATTTATTTTACGCGCGATCATTCATAACCACAAGTTCGTTTGTTGACTACCGCATTGTCAACAAGTTCTGTTTTGTATGGAATGGAATGGCATTTTTTTTTGAAAAAAAAGTTTGTTTTTATTTCAATAAACTATTATACTACCGAGTCTGAACCTCCTGTGTGAATTTGGGCACCGTTAGAAAAGCCACCCTGTATGCAATATAAAATTAAAGCCTTAAACAGTTTTAGTTGTCTATGGGCTCTCTCAGTCGCAGAAAGCTAGACGTTTCTGATGTGCCTCGTATGGGTCCTGTGCACGCCCTGCATCGCGGACTTGATCTCCTCCATGAAGGAGGCAGAGTTGTGGATCGCGGTGCCGCCAAGCACCACCCTGACCCCGGGGTTCGCCTGGTTTATTTGGTGCACGCACAGCGCCTCCTCGTAAGTGACACCGCCTACTATGAACACTATCACGTCTTGAGGCCGCCGCCCGTACGATATCTCGTCGCCGCCCATCGCAGGGTACAGATTCTCCCGCAGCTTGCCCTTGATCAGGTCCTCAATGGTGTCCTTCAGGAGCGGCGTGTGCTGGGTGTATATGTTCTCCACACCGTTCAGGCCCTGTAATGTTATACTTTTAAATCTGTGAACATTGTCTATGCTTTAAAATATGCACAGGGAGTCTTTTGTAAGTGTATCCATTTTTTAAAATTCAATTCTAGACATAAATAATGTTATATAAAAAATTATAAATATTTTAAATCAGTACCCGGAGAACCGAGCTTTGCTCGGTTTATTCTTTTTTTGGTAAATCGTGTATTTTGGAAATTACATTTAGATACAAATTACTGAGTAATAAAATATGCATAAGGTTTTTCGATCTTACCGATGTAATAATAAGAAAATATGAACTGATGTTTTTCACAAAAGAAAGAACTTTAAAAAAAAAGGGAAAAAATAACAAAATAACAAATCGACAAAAAATTAAAAATAAAGAAAGCAATGATCTGGAATCGAAATAAAAGTAAAAAAATAGATGTGTAAATGATCGTGACGCGAACCACGGCCGTCTGTTTTGGGGCCGCCCGATTACCGACCGAGCTATTTTGACATTTTCTCTTGCGGCGAAATTTACGGTCATATTCGAATTATATTTTTCATTCCCTGAAAACAGGGATAAAATGACATTTTCTAAAAATGAAACCTAGCTAGATCGATTTTTCGCCCCCGAATATATGCACATACTAAATATCTCAAAAAGTGCGTGATTTATACGCAACTCATTTATTTTACGCGCGATTGACACGCACACACGTTCGTTTGTGTGCGGGAACAGTAAAATTTAGGTATTTATGAATGACTACCGCGTTGTCAACAAGTTCTGCTTTTTAGAGAATAGAATGGTAATTTTTTTGAAAAAAAAAGTTTGTTTTTAAATCAATATACAATTATACTACCGAGTCTGAATCTCCTGTGTAAATTTGGGCACCTTGAAAAGAGCCTCCCTGTATAGTAAAGTAACAGCCTATAAATGTCCCAATGCTGGGCAAAGGCCTCCTCTATACAGAAGGTATCAGGGCATAGTCGACCACTCGGCCCCACTGCGAAATGGTGGACTTCACATATCTTCGAAAAATATTTTTTTTGTTATTTACGTTCGCAACCATTGAGTGAGTATAGCGAGGCACTCTTTTTTAAAGTTGGCAAAGCATCAGCAGCCCTACGGGTGTTGCAAATGTCGGTTATCATTTAACATGAACCGCCAGCTCGTTTGGCATCTCGCATAAAAAAATCGGTCGCTTTATCGATGGAGCGTCAGAAACCCTCAGCGGCTTCCTCTATTGAGACTATTGATGTAAAAAAAAAATCCCGCCGAGTTTCTTTCGCCGGTTCTCAGTACAGTGGCTTTCTTTTCCGAGCCCGTTGAATAAAGCCGTTTCTTCTGATTGTGAGAGCGGTTGACCTTGAAGAGGCGCTTGGTGATCTTGACGGCGTCCTGCAGCCCGAAGAGGTCGGCGCGGCGCGCGTGCGCCCCGCCCCACTCGAGCGCGAGCAGGGGCGCGCGCGCGCACTCGTCGGGGGCGCCCCGCGCCCGCAGCGCCCCCACCAGCGAGGACAGCGCTTCCGCGGCGCCCGCCTGCTTCTCGTAGCGCAGCGCGTACAGCGCCACCAGCCGCGCGGCGTCCCACTCGCGCACCGCCTCCTTGCCCACCAGCGCCTTCACGCGCTGCGCACGGAACGGGCTTGTACTCAGTCGAGGACGGGTGGGGGACATACACTCGCTTACGAGCTAAGGTCAAAGTCAGTCCCTTTATATTTATAGGCGCGTTTTAAGCTCTTTTAAACCTGTCCAGAGGACAACTGGCATAGATGAAATGTCTTGTCGAAATAAGCAGGTCTCCTTACGGTGTTTTCCTTCCCCGCTGAGCACGAGATAAGTCAGCACTTAACAATTTTATTGGTTCCGGCACCGGGAATTGAACTCAAATTGACCGGACAGTAAGCTATCGCAGCTCTTAAATTGAGATAAACCGTATATTAAAAAAATATGATATATAAAAGATAATTATGTACAGAGGCCAGAGGCCCAGCGGACCTTTAAATTAAAAAATCTTTTTAAAAAAAAAAACATTGTCCTTTAGGATAACATTATCCTGCAAAAATTTCACGCGGACAAACGTCCAGATGCGAAACAATTATCTTTGTGTCATACAAGTAGTTGTCCCGTGTGGGAATCGAACCCACGACCCCCGACGCCGAAGCCGTCATACACCGCGGAGTCATCAGTAGTAAGTGCCACTGGGACATAGAAAATCTAATACTGTGGATATTAATCAACGAAAAGGACTGGGTGCCGTCACCTGCAAATGCTTGGCGTGGTCGCTCTGGCAGGCCATCTCCTGCTCCAGCTCGGACACCTCGAGCAGGCTGTGGCGGCCCACCATCGACGACAGCTCGCCGACCACCGTCACGTGCTTCGTCACCGTCCCCGACATTTTCTGCGGCACGGGGAACTATGGTTACCGACCATACCCGACCCCATTCACACAAATCGTGGGACCTTGAAGCTCTATTGTAGTCTTCAATTCGAAAACATTGACCTATTACTTGTGTGGGTGACAGGTAGTTGTCTCGTGTGGGATGCAAATGGATGCCCACAATCCTTGACACGAAGCCAATACCTTGGCAATTGTGCTACGGAGTCCTCAAAACGGGTAGTAAGTCCCAAGGACCGCTGCGACCTAGAAGATTTATTGTAGTTCTTCCATTCGAAAACATTACCCCCTCACTGTGTACTTATATGGACGATACAATAGCTGACTCCGGTGGGAATCGAACCCACATCCCCCGGATGTCCGATACGAAGCCCTCGGCGACTGCACCACGGAGTCATAAATACGGGTAGCAAGTCCCAAGGAGCACTGCGACCTAGAATACCTATTGTGGTCTTGGCTTCGAAGGTAGCCTCCTCAAAAGCACAAGCCCTAACGAAGTTAACGGTCGATGAGGGTCGAGAAGGCTTATTAGGTTGCCAACTTGGACCCTTCCCGTTTCCCGACTGCCAATCAACGGCGTATACATGTGGAGTGCAATAAACTGGTCATCGGCCACCGAACGACTCACCCTACTTGCAACGACACAATGCTTTGTAGTGGAGACGTTTCACGCGCACAATTCGCTGATAGACTGTCCGGGTTAAATCACAAGTACGCCTCGCGCCGGAATCGAACCCACCGCGAATGACACCGAAGTCGGCAACACAACAGTTATCATTGGTTGGGAGCGAGAAACTCTATTAGTCTGTCATTTAGCAATACACAAATTATGAAACGAGTTTCATGGAAACAGTGTTTCCATGAAACTCGTATCTTTTTGGCCCAAAATTATAAACCAACTTTTGGTGACCGTTGTAAAATACACCGTTGTAAAATTTCAAAATAAGCCATACTTTATTATCCGTGAACTTACTATGTAACAATCAAAATGCCCTTGTTGATAAATTCCTCAGAGTATTAAAGCGTCCAGAGCTAAAAAGCATTGAGCATAGAGATTAATTAACGGGCGGTTTCAATATTCTACACCTATCTGTGGATTTGGTTACTGGAGATAGGATTTTGACAAAAGTATTTTAGAGCCAGTGTCAAATACCTATCGCCAGTAACCAAATCTACAGATAGATAGACACGCCCGGTTTCTGTAACACTAATCACCGTAGAACTTAACTAATCAGCATAATTCTGAGCCATTTGACAGATGATTAGTTAGTATTGAAAACGGCCGTCGGCCCACCTTGAACAGCGGATAGGTCTCGACGAAGTTCTTCATGTCTGCGATGCTCTCCACCTTCTGGTGGCTCTTCGCCTTCTTCTGGAACTCCTCCATCAGCGACTTGATGGTCTGGCCGATCTCGCCGAAGTTGGAATACAGGTTCTAATGATCACAACAAGAATAGTAGAATGACGCCGGTTTCTAAAACACTGCCCATCGTAGAAATCCTTTTGGCAACTCAAATGACATTTGAAAGCTGTTAGTTAATTTCTAAGATGATCAGTGTTTCAGAAACCGGGCCCGAGTGAAACAAGCATACACGAGTGACTGTAACTTAAGAGCGATTGTCAAATGTTTCACATCTACGGTGTGGGCTTGCTCAATGATGGTTGTCACTGATAGCTTGATAAAATACTGCCCGAGTTAAATGGATCTTCATGATCTTTTTCTAATTTTTAGATGAGAAGTTGACAAGTGAGCAGGGGGTTTTCCTAATGTTAAGTTATTATAGCTTGATAAAATACTGCTCGAGTTAAATGGATCTTCATTATTTTTTTTCTAATTTTTAGATGAGAAGTTGACAAGTGAGCAGGGGGTTTTCCTAATGTTAAGTTATTATAGCTTGATAAAATACTGCCCGAGTTAAATGGATCTTCATGATTTTTTTTCTAATTTTTAGATGAGAAGTTGACAAGTGAGCAGGGGGTTTTCCTAATGTTAAGTTATTATAGCTTGATAAAATACTGCTCGAGTTAAATGGATCTTCATGATTTTTTTTCTAATTTTTAGATGAGAAGTTGACAAGTGAGCAGGGGGTTTTCCTAATGTTAAGTTATTATAGCTTGATAAAATACTGACCGAGTTAAATGGATCTTCATGATTTTTTTTCTAATTTTTAGATGAGAAGTTGACAAGTGAGCAGGGGGTTTTCCTAATGTTAAGTTATAACCGCCGCCCATAGACATCTGCTAGTTTATGTATATTTCCTAGTAGGAGGCTTAGGATGTCTGACTAAATATTTCAAGACACATTTTTACACAACATTATCTATGTCCCAAACTAAGCAAAGCTTGTACTATGGATACTATGTAACTGGTAAACATGTTTAAACATACTTTCCTCTTACAAATAAATAAATACAAAGTTGTCCCGCTGTCTGTCTGCCCTATGTATGCTTAGATCTTTAACACTATGTAACGGATTTTGATGCGGTTTTTTTTTACTAGATAGAGTGATTCAAGAGGAAGGTTTATATGTATTATACATTGTACCCGAGCGAAGCCAGAATGGGTCGCTAGTTATAGATATTATTATTATATTAATTGTACTAGAAAAACACTATGTTCATCGCACAGTAGTGGGGATCGAACCCACAGCCCCCGATGCAAGGGACGGGTCCACTATCCACTACGCCGAGGTCGTCATGTCAACAAGTAACCTTCGCGTAGAACTCGTCCTGCTCCGGCGCCAGCACCACCTCGCGGAAGTCCTTGGGCACGTCGGGCAGATGGGCCAGGCTCACGCGGTTGTTGTTGATGCCCAGCAGCTCGTGCACCATCGCCTGGTACGTCCACTGGTGGCCGTGGGCGTGGGCGTGAAAGGACAAGTTCAAAGTCAGAATCTCTTCATCCAATACAGGCTTGTTTAGGCTCCTATTGATTGTCAAGAAACCACCACTGGGTCACTAAACTAGACCTGTCCAGGGAAGAACCGCCAAGAAACTCTGCTGTGGTAATTTCTTTAAATGCTTTACACAACATTTGTTTGGTGTTAAAGCAGCAGTAGCCAGAGGACTTGCAAGTGCAGAGCAAGAGTCATTTCCACACATCCTTGTCATTGATGTATTCTTCAACATTATAACAAGTCTTTCCATTATGGTAGCTGTTACAATATTATTAAAAAAAATTAAATTAATTATTCAAAATTATTAAATTAAATATTGCTTACACTTAGCTGTCTGTCCATATCACTTACTAGCTGTTAACCGCGGCTTCGCCCGCGGGGCCAAAGGGAATTTAGTAACAATTTTTTATTTTACACTACAATATCTCGCAAATGGCTGAATGTTTTCCTACTTAGTTGACACTTACCATTACCTATAATTTGGACAATATCTTTATAAATTATAATCTATGTGTTATTCTGATGTATAAGCTATATTATTGTAGTTTCATTAAAATCCATTCAGAAGTTTTTGCGTGAAAGAGTAACAAAAATCCATCCATACATACAAACATCCGCATTTATAATATTAGTAATGATTTTGCTATATGAATAAGTTAATATGCCTGCAAAGAAACGACTTTCTGATTTCAGCCCGTCCAAACCTCGGTACTTCCAGTGTCACCACCGCGATGGGGTATGTGTTGTTAAACAAATCAAGCCTATTACGTATTCACATACACATGCATGATGTTCTCGAATATGTGTAACAATGAGGAATGAGGCAGGTATTTATTGTAACAGGTATCTCGAAATAACAGACTGTACCTGTTACGAACAAACATTACGGACAGTCACAGTTACAGGACAGTCCAGATGCGCTTTACAACACATTATTTAAATTAATTAAAACTGAATTTAATGCTATATTTACTTCTAAGACAGTCAATCGTAAAAGCTCTGCAGTTTTCAATGATTGGGCAACAGTCGGAATTCATAAGAGTAGGCGTACACTGTATGAACTCTATAATGAAAGGACATTCAATCACAGTAATTCTTTTGTAGCTTATGTTAGCGCCTATTCTAAAATATTTAAAAAGTTTGTTATCTGGCTAAATCAATATTTATTAAAAATACAATAAAAAGCGCATCTGATAAAATCAAAATGACGTGGAATATAATAAATAGTGAAACGGGTAGACTTACGAAGCGCAACTCTGACTTAACCTTAACTGATGGTATTAATACTATTCAATCTAATCAGGAGGTTGCCAATTTTTTCGAGAAATTTTTTGCTGACATTCCTGTTTCTACAACTAAGTCACTTCTCTCTTCTCCGACAATTTCCGAATCATTACTTAAGAAAAATGTTATGGAATGTAAAGAAAACTTTAAGTTTACTACTGTTAATAAGAGCGATTTCATAAAAACATTCAAATCTCTAGATATTAAAAGAACTGCTGATCTATTCTGATGGGGGATCTCTGTCAAGGTGATCAGTTCTATAATTGATGTAGTCTCACCTTACTTAGCAACTATTTTTAATATTTGTATTCAACGTGGCGAGTTTCCTGACCTTATGAAACATAGTAAGATTATTCCGGTGTTCAAATCTGGTAGTACTTCTGACCCCAGCAATTTTAGACCTATTTCAGTACTACCAACTCTTAGTAAAATTTTTGAAAAAATTATTTTGAATCAAATGTTACTCCATTTTAGTACACATAAATTGCTGCATAACAAGCAATATGGATTTACTAGGGGTCGCTCAACAACAGATGCGGGTATCCAGCTTGTGAAGAATATTTTTGAAGCCTGGGAAGAGTCACAGGATGCCTTAGGTATATTCTGTGACTTAACCAAAGCATTTGATTGTGTACAGCACAACCTTGGTCAGGAAACTACGCCACTATGGTATAAGAGATGCCGCACTCAATCTTCTGACATCGTACTTGAGCTATCGTGTTCAGAGAGTTGACGTGAATGGCAAGAGATCTCCCGGGGCCCTGGTAAGTATGGGGGTTCCACAGGGATCTATTCTGGGGCCTTTTCTCTTCCTCATCTACATAAATGACCTGCCCTATCTTGTAAATAATGATCATGAGATAGTATTGTTTGCTGATGATACTTCTTTAATTTTTAAAGTTGAACGACATTCTTCAAATTATGACGACGTTAACAATACTCTCTCCACTGTAGTGCATTGGTTTAGTGCTAATAACTTAATGTTGAACAGTAAAAAAACGAAATGTATTAAATTTACAACTCCCAACGTAAAAAGTGTAAAAACTGATGTACTTTTACATGGGGAAGCGTTAGACCTCATTGACTCGACTGTATTTCTTGGCATAACCGTAGATGCCAAATTGCAGTGGGGCCCCCATATAAATAAACTGTCGAGTAGACTTAGCTCAGCAGTCTTTGCAGTCAAAAAAATTAGACAGTTGACTGATGTGGATACGGCTCATCTGGTATATTTTAGCTATTTCCACAGTATAATGTCTTATGGCATTCTACTTTGGGGAAATGCAGCCGACATAAATACTATTTTCATCCTGCAAAAGAGAGCTATTCGAGCGGTTTATAACCTGGGCCCCAAAGACTCACTAAGAAACCTGTTTAAAGAAATAAAAATATTGACTGTAGCTTCTCAGTACATACTTGCTAATGTTATGTATGTCCACAAAAATAAGAATGACTTTTCAAGATTTAGTAATGTGCATGATGTAAATACTAGGAACAAGCATAAATTAGTTCTACCCTCAACTAGATTGCGTAGAATAAGTAAATCTTTTATGGGACAATGTATACGCTTTTACAACAAAATCCCAGAAAACGTTCAAAATGAATCCGTTGCTAAATTCAAAAAACTTGTAAAGGAACGTTTGTGTGTTAATGGCTATTATAGTATTAGTGATTATATGAATGATAACACACTCTGGAAATGAATTGATCGCTCCAGGCTATTTCAAGTGGAGTTTAATAGGAGTTTGAATAATTGTACACATATTTGTAATTTTTTTGGCAAGTAAAAAAAATAATGTCCCGCTGAGTTTCTTACGCCGGTTCTTCTCAGGTCAGTGGCTTACCTTCCGAACCGGTGGTAGAGTTTTTTGACTATCAATAAGTAAGTGAATGCTTCTATATTGAATAAAGATATTTGACTTTGACTTTGACTTGATTTAACCTTGTATAGCTCACTCCTAGTAACAATGTCCCATTATAACCTAATGTTAAATGTTATCTGAAGTTTTTATTGCATGTCCTATGTATTTTTCTTAAATGAAACGCTCCTTTTAATCATCAAGTCCTACCTGATTGAGCAGAGGCGTCACAGGATCGTCCCTCCTGTCTATTATGAGCAGCTGTAGCTGAGGGGAGTCCCCGTTGAACGGTATGGTGTTGTCGATGAGCACGGTCTCCCTGCGTAGCAGGTCGCGCAGCCGCTCGGCTAGCCGGCCGCAGGGCTCCGACGACGCCTCGTAGCGGACCACGGCGCGTTTCTTAAGCGACAGCAGCAGCGCCAGGAGCCCTTGGGACACGCGCTGCAGGTGCTGCTGGCTCCACGAACGACCTGGCCCGTTGGTGCAACAATTTAACACCACACGGAGGCTAAGTGCGACCCTATTGCAGTATGTGACTATATTTTGCAATAAATCATCAGTGTCCTGTTTGTGTATCAAACATACATTGCTGAAAAAATGGGGTGGAAAAACATAAAAAACATATCTAAGTGATATATCGAAATTTTACGGAGGTATGTTAAGCTGGTCACAAATGGGGTCAAGAATGGGCTAGCATTTATATTTTTGTCTTTGCTATTTTTTTTATGAGAAAAGTTGCTAAACGAGCAGACGGTTCACCTGATGGTAAGTGAATACCGCCGTCCATGGACATCTGCCACACCCGAGGGTTACAGATGCGTTGACAACCTTTTGAAAATTGGGCTCCGGTTACGTCACTCAGCAGACGAAACGCGAAAGTATTTGTCATACTTCCACTTTACCCTGGACTTCTGTGAGGTCGTGGTACTTACACGGACGGGCCTGCCCATTTGTGCAACAGCCGAGGCTGCTGCGTGGCCCTACCACCGTAGCTAGTTTGAATTGTAATAAAATGTATGTACCACTTTTTTTTTAGTTTATTTGAGGTGACAAGCGTGCTGGCAATGTTAAGTGATAGCCGCCGCCGATGGACATTTGAAACGCGCATAGGGTTTCAAATGTGTTACAACCTTTTAATAAAATGAGTGAGGTAACCGGAACCCTGTTACGTCACTCACCAGACGAAACGCTAAACTACTTCTGTGAGGTTGTGGTACTTCCCCAAACACACTTGCCCATTCATGCAATGAAAGGCCACGAAAGCTGTTGTGTTGTAGACCACTCTTCATTTTTACATTAACAATATTATACAGCGTGTCGTTACAACCGCGACAATAAACGAACACACATATAGAGGATAATTTATCAATATTTACCAAGTTATTAAATTTTACAACATTTTTAGAACACTCTTACATATAAAACTGTAATGTAAAGTTCATTTGTAAAGGTCACAAAGCCTATGCATGGGTTGAATGAATTTAAAAGAGACAAAACATACTGTTAGAATTGTTACTGTTTCAAAACATACTGTTACTGTTGGCTTGTAATGCGTTGTGGCAACGAAAGAAAAACTCTCTGAATGTATGAATCAGTCAGTTGTAGTTGTATAGGATGTTACAAATTTTGATTCTTTTTTATTTAATTAGTTTGTTTGAAAAATATATTTTTTTAATTATGGATTTTTTAACCTTTTATATTTTTTTATGATTATTGACAAGTAGCGTTAGACGTGTGTTCATTTATTGTCGCGGTTGTAACGACACGCTGTGTAAATTTAAAAAGAATTTTTTTTGGTTTCACTTTATTTTACAGTTGTTTTTTAAAGTTTGTATGTATGATATTTTCCACTTACTGTTCACCAGACTGTTATATATTAATATATCAAGCTAAATGCAATTACCATGTAAACAGCCAACAATATTGAAAGAGAACAGATGTCTATCAACTGCAAGGTAATCGGCAAAAACTTCTTGCACCTCTCTAACAGCCTCCTGCTCATCACATTCAGCAAGGGTCTTAATATCGGCTTTTGAGATAACATTACTGAAATCTAATAAATTAATATGTTAGAAGAAATTATTTTTCTTAAAACATATTGTATATGAATACAATCTATACATATAGATTTGCATTTTTTGTTAAAAATAATGATATGTATTAAAAAAGATAACACAATTACAAAAGCAGATCAGTAGAAACTGTATTTTACATTAAGAATTCATTGAGATTAAAAAAAATCAAACTAGTTTGTACGGTTTTATGAAACCACAATGCAAGTGACCTTTTTTCTCATTGTAGCCATATTGGCCCTAGCTGCTCTGCCAAGTGCCTTTGAGTTTACCCCTACTCTGGAGCCGGATAAAAAATATTACAACAGTGGAAAAAGTTTTACTTTAAAATTATTGACTCAAAATATAATGCATGACAACTAATCAATAGAAACTCACAAATAAAATATACTCCATATTTAGGACATTTCAGCTCCCTGGACAATAGGGCAATGTTCTCTGAAGTAGGTCGTAAAAATACAATGCACTTCATATGCTTCAAGTTGTCATATTTGCTTGGGTTATCTATCCTTTCAAACAAGTACACTTCTTTTTGGAGTATTTCTGATTGACTGTAAACCATGCTTACAATGCTTGTCTGTAAGTATACAAATGAAAAATACCTTAAATGTAACAACCTCATTTATCAATATTTATATCATAAACAGAAATTATTTTTTCGTTTTAATAAAAACATTGCCCTTACTTTAAAATAACATTATACTGTTATGTAAGGATGTTTTAGAAACATGAATTTCACATGGACAAACACCCAGATGCAAAACAACTATCTGTGGGTCAGACAAATAGTTGTCCTGTGTGGGAATCGAACCCACGAACCCCATCGCCAAAACCTTGGCTTGGCAACTGTGCCACGGAGTCATTAAAAATTGATGAATAGGTAAAATTTAACATTAGCATTTTTTTCTTTCGATCTAATAAAATATTTATTTGGTTGAGAAAAATCACTAATGAAATAATCAGAAATCATAATTCTGCAGTTGCTTATAGTTTAAAGGAAAAATATTTAAAACTTGTTATTTTCACTAATGGAAAAGTTACCGAAAAATATTACGATAATTTATTTAGAGCTCTTTTCGACCTCACCACTGTGTTATTTTTTTCGTTCAATTACTTGACTAACTGTTTTTCACACCTGTTTGAAATATATTTTTTTTCACAAACTCCTATAAATGAAAACATTATATTACTTTGTTAAATTGAATCATTAAAAACACACGGACATCTTTTCAGATGTATCCGTATCGCGATATACCGTCAGGGGTTGAATATACGCGATATGTAAACGCGGTGAGAAAATGATGTGATTTTAGAATTGTACCAAAATATTAGTGAAAATGTATCAAAACATTTTAATGCATTATTTTATCGTCACAATTGTACCACTTACAGTTTCCTTGTCCATCAATATAACTTTCATGCCAGGACCGCTCTCCTCGGTCATTTTAGTAATGTACATTTTAACGGCCTGTATTACATTCATTTTTACTGTTTAGTAAGGTATTACTTCAAAATAAAACAATCATTAATATTTTTTTGCTATACTTTTACTTTAAATTTAATTAAACTAAAATTAATCAAGTTTATTTTGATAACTGACAGTTGAGTTTGAGTTGACAATTTGACTTGACATGTAGATTATAGTATAGCGCCATCTTTGACATGAGCAATAGTCACGGAATAGAAAAACAAACTGTTTTTTGTTTAAAACTGATGTTACGCTTTCAGTACTTAGGTATGTACTCATGTTTGTTACTTATGACCAGCGCTTGAAAGCGGTAAAGGTATAAGGGTTTGCTACCGGTATAAAATTACGTTACCTCTTTGATTTAAAGGTAGAGCCAAAAAGGTTAAGAACTACTATTATGTTACCTACATTCCTCTTTTGCGGTATCTTTATAGTATTATTTTTTTAGTACCTAACCGAAATTATTTTGGTACCGAAAAAACGCGGCAACGCGATCGCGACGTTGCTATTTCGCGCGGTTCAGACCAGTGCGGCACTTGTCACGACTTGATTGACAAACAAACTGCAATCTCGCTATATGCATTAGCGCGCTTTGAGTTGTCGCTTTATTAATCTTATAAAGTTGCGTACTTTAAGCAAAGCTTTTTCGTTTGTTAAATACATTACATAATGGGAAGAAAACGCAAGAACGCTGTGTATTCTTTCTTTTCATATGATAAAGACACAAAATATTCTACTTGCTTAGTCCCTGGTTGTAAATCACTCATTAAGGTTAGTATAATTATGAAGAAGTCCTATTATTTAGTAGGTACTCTATTTTGTAATTGAAGGTAATTAATTATAATCGGAATAGATCGTTTTTCACTTAAACATACCTAACTATGTTTAAATTATTTTGAGGGACCGGACGCCTTGGCGTTTTCACGCGGGGATTCCCGACAGATAAACAGACTACGTTTAGTTTTCATTTGTTTTTTTTTTTTATTGTTTACGATTGAAATATATACGTGACCGAGATAAATATATACCGATAAAACATATGATTTATTCATTTTTGTATTGCCGTGTACCGTCAATACTTTTACTTTTTTTCCCATCTCGGTGGGTAAAAAAATGCGACCAATCTTCGCTTGCTACACGTAAAATAAAACATTACTTATGTTTATCATGTATACCAGCTTATTTGTGTGGTGAATGGGATAAACATGAAAAAATTAATATTATCTGTCGGAAGATTGACGGTACCTTGGTTTTCGAAAATAATTGCCATTATATTTATAAATAAGTGCTAACTGGTATCAATTATCTATTCAGGGCGAACATGGAACAAATCTTCTCTATCATTTGTCGTCCAATCATCCTGATGAATACAAAATAGTGCATGATAGAAATAAATTGCATAAAAGTGACGAATTTGTACAAACTAATGATGAGAATGATTTGATTTTGAATATTTCAAATGGTGATAGTACAAAAAACAACTCAATATCAAAACTGGCATATTTACAAACGCAGTGCGTAAATTTGGTAACTGTACATGGGAGGCCATTTTTATTGATGGATGATCTGGCTTTTAAAAACATTATGGCAATGACTGCTATAGTCCAAGAGAATTACAATCTTTAAATTCACACACTATAAGAAGATTAATTACAGAAGCGGCTGAAAAAGTGAGGAAAAATATAAGTAAAGATATAAAAGGGAGACTAATTTCATTAAAAATCGACAGCGCCACTCGACTGGATCGAACATTTTTCGCCGTCAATGCCCAATATATAGAAAACGCCTCAATAGTAATTAAAACCTTAGGTGTGACAGAAATGTGGGATAAAAGCACTTCAGAGTACCTACGGGAAAAGTTATTATACATACTAAGGAAATACGAAATAAATGTGGATCAAATTTATACGATCACATCAGATAATGGTGCAAATATGTTGAAATTGACCCGCTTGATGAACGATTTAAGAGAAGATAGAGAAGACGATTTAAGTGACTCTGAATCTGAATTAGACTTACATTACAATGACCGATTATTGGATGTAACTTTTCAGTCCGATAGTGATGTACCATATGCTATTACTTCAGTTCGGTGCGCTGCACACTCACTGCAGCTGGCAGTTCAAGATGCTTTAAGAGAAGATGAATCGGTACACACGATTGAACAAGCGCGATCGATTGTAAGGAAACTGCGAACGCCTACTATGAAAAATTTGATAAAATCAGCAAAAAAAAATAAAGCCATTATAGATAATAACACGCGTTGGCATTCAACATTTGATATGCTAGAGCGATTGAAAAGTTTGAGGGATTGTTGCTCTGATGAACCTGGAGAACCATTGTACTTACCTAATACTTTTTGGGACACAATTAATGATTTGATAATTTCTCTGAGACCCGCCAAAATATGCACAAAAATATTACAAGAAGAACAGCTTACTTTGAGTGATTTTTTTTACTACTGGACAAAATGTTATTTAGATACATCACACGTGTCCACTCCTCTTGCACAACAGCTGTGTGTATTTATGAAAGACAGACAACGACACTTGATGACCAGTGCGACATTTCTTAGTGCATTGTATTTAGACCCCCGATTCCAGGTGGTTTTATCGTTTGAGGAAGCATCTTTAGCTGTGCAACATTTAAATGCAACTTGGGTACAGATTTTAAAAACAGAGGCAAACAATTTTCTTTCTCAACAAGAAACTGAAGAAGACCGTTACCGTCCCTCTACATCTTCTGCTGTTTCAGAAATAGAAGATGAAATGGAAATAATGTTGTCACAAACTGAAAGAGAGAGGAGACCTCAACGGTCCGCTCTTTATATTCACACGCGGGCGGATGTTTCAAATATATTACTAAATTTTTCCAACCACCCCCGTATACCAACAAAAGAAGAAGTATTATCATTTTGGGACAAAAAAGCTGAGTTGGAACCTCAACTATATCGTTTAGCAAAAGTAGTGTTTGCTGTGCCAGCCACGCAAGTGAGCGTGGAGCGCCTATTTTCGTCATTAAAATATGTTATAAATGTTTTGCGCTACTCTTTAAATGAAAACATTGTAGACGACATTTTAGTTATAAGAAATAATACGAGTAAATGAATATATTTCATGTTATTACTGAAGTAAATTAGCCGTTATGTTAATTGGTGTTATGTTTTGTATTTTTTTTTTTAGATGTCAGGTCGAACCTTTTTATGTTGTGAATGTTTGTTATAAATGAGAATTTTTTGGTAATTGGTTTCTTTTATAATACAAAGAATTTTAGTTTAGTTTTAGTTTTTTGGTTATGTAATATTAGTTCTTCTCTTAATCCTTTGTTGATAAATTCAACAAAATAAAAACTTATAATGACTTCAATTTAATAAATGATACTCCAAAAATTGCCTCAATTTATTTAGTTTTATTTATTATAAATCACATACGTCAAATTATCAATTATTCAATTTCAATCTTTAATTTAAACATCAATGACTCATGTGTATGGTGATGGTGATGGTAGTTGCGGACGAGATAGTAGGTGGTTGTGGTTGTTGGTGATGGTGGTTGTTGCGAAGATACCATGAGGGTATTCTGTTTTAGGAATTATGCTGCTCAGATTCTACCAAAGGGACTTCTGTACTGTGTTTTCCTTCTATAGAATGTAGAAATATTAAAATTCTTGAATAAACTCGGGATCTCATACAAGGTTCTATGTTGTTAATTTCTTCATTTATTAGTAAACCAAAAATTTCGTTTCTTCGGTCCTTCTCTTCTTTTTTGATCGCAAAGCAGTGTGAACATTCAGGTCTAAGTCTTTTTTTCTCTAAAACTTTACCTAGTTTAGATTGAAGAACGGAGGGGGACAGTGGTCGCTCCGAATCCCCTAAAATATCTGGCGAGTGATGACGCTTCATTGCTGATCCTAAAATAAGTCATAATACGAAATGTTATTCATAAATTACCCATTTATTTTACCAGAATTAACAGAAACGCTTTATTTATTTATTAAGTGAACTATTGTTCACTTCACAATTCGGCGAAAAAAACTATTTATGTTGCATAACAACATAAATAGTTTTTTCGCCAAATTGTGAAAACAATTTATCGGCGACACAATGCACTCCTACAAAATTTTTACTTAAATAACAGAATAAAATCAGCATACACTTGTAGTTAAAAATAACTAAGCAGTAAAAGAAAAAATAAAAGTGAAATTTATTAATAAATTTATTTTATAATTAATTAAATTAATAAAAAAAAATTAAACTGTTTTAAAAAGGCTAAAAAATATGAAAGTACCTACTTACTTTTATCCATCTTCGTGACGAACGAGCTGGCTAGGCTAGACAATGGCGGTGCACTTAACCGTTGAAGTTGAGACGTATATAAATATGAAGAAGGTATATATAACTAAAATAAATGTCAACTTCGCAAGAAAACGTGCGCAATACTACAGTCGGTGTCACAAGTCTCGATTATTGAATTGTTGTACTTTGCACCCCGCTACCTCCCCGGGGGGGCCGCTGGTAAACCTCTATTTTATAATTCGGTTATCGTAAAGAAATAATGGTACCGTAATTTATAGATATCAAAAAATTTCGGTACATATATTTTTCGCTATCAGAAAAAAGCTGTGGCGTTATTTTAAGCTATGACAATAATAAAGGTATGACGTCATTCCCCTTACCGTTTTTACCTATATTTATCGGTTATTCAAGCCCTGCTTATACATGTCGCCTACGGGCCATCGCTTCGCCATCGTAACGTGCGAATGTGATTGAAAATATGCTACCTTCTATCATAAGCGGTTTAGCGGACAGCTTCAAAGGTGTGACTTTTGTGTTACAGTGATGCGCGCGCATCTTAAAATTTCACTCTGTTCAGTTTTTCATAACGCGCCTAAACAAGTATCACTTCAAAATGTGTCCTTTTAAGAAACGTTTCTTTAGTAATATTAATATAATCCAAGGACTATTTAAAATTTCTATTAGTTTCAATTTATTGCCTCAAATGTATACAATCGATGTTATATTTTACTTAATTTGTTTGTGTCAACAGTTTGCCCATTACAATGGAGCGAGCCCTTAACGCTTACATCTTTTGTATGCCCTGTTAAGCTGTACTGTTTTTTTAATAAATGAAACCAAAGTTTTCATTCTAACTTTTCTAGGAATACAAATAAGTATCAGTAATTTAAATTTTCTTGCCAAGAGCCAAGAGATGGCACGCGAAACGGTTTAATTGTATTTACAAATGTATTCTGTGGATTCAAGTTTGACATAATATTCTTCTCTGCTACGCGATTAAGTTATGTTATCTGTGTGCTCGTTCCTCGCTATCAATTCGATCAACTCGACTCAACGAAGGAAACTGGAAAGGTCGGACGGGTCAGATCGAAGCATATTTGCGCGCCGTCTTCTATAATCAAATATACTCTTAAATTACGAGTATTATCCGAGGTTAATATACTAAAAATGTTCTCCCGCGCTCTTAAACCAGTTGCCGGCGTAGCAGTCCAGAATGGCGCAAAGAACTTCTCCACCACATCACAGGTTTGATTCACGATTAATATAGAACATTTTCATCATCATTCAATCAAATAAGAAAAAAAATACCAATCAAAATTGTATAGCAAGCACCATCTTAAACGATTCAGATGAATTTTCTCTATCAAGTTGACATGATTGCTACTCATTACAGAAAAACTTTAAAGTGGTTGTGGCGGGTGCATCGGGCGGTATCGGCCAGCCTTTGGCGCTGCTGCTGAAGCAGAATCCCCTGGTGACCAGACTGGCGCTTTACGACATCGCGCCCGTGACCCCTGGTGTAGCCGTCGACCTTTCACACATGGACACCCCTGCTCAGGTGACCGGGCACAAGGGTCCAGAGGAGCTCGCGGCAGCTATTAAAGGTATAAAATCGATAATATTTACTCGAAATGTTAGCATGTTAAAAAGTGTTACATAATACTGCAAAGTTATCAATGTATAGTTGATGTGTCTAACCTAATTTTAGCATGACAGTCTTTGTCAAGGACAAACTGATTATGATTATTTTTCTGTCTTAAGGGTTATAATTTGCAATATTCTTATATTCTGTTACAAAATCCATATAAGTACCTAATAGAATAGAAGTTAATTTGGAAATGCAAATATAATTATGGTTATAATTTAAAAAAAATCTATCATAATCTTATGCAATTAGCCATTGCCGTTAATAAGCTGTACACATTTTTAATTTTTAAAATTGAATTTTGTTGTCATTTTCATTGCAAGTAAAAAAATAATAATACATAAATAAACCATTATATTGTCAGACACTCGGAAAATGTTTCATGTGTAGATGATATTGGGTGTAAAATTTACATTGTTTGTGGATTCACCAGTGGGACATTACAGTGAATACTTAAATATCCATATCTATGCAACATAAGACAAAAAGTCCTGGAAGGATAATATTTATAAATTAAATAGTAACCAAAAAATTTTTTTCTCATAAATTAAACATTTTCATCTCTAGTAAATGTGTAGATATTTGTAAATATATTCATACATTAGGCAGTAAAAATTACTTATTTCAGTTTCAATTGGCATGTACAAGTTAATTGAAACTGAAATATTGGAGATACAATTTATCACAATATACATGTTAATTCTTATTCTGCTCATGGAATATTTTTAATCTTTATTGATATAAGGTTATATCTGTACATGTTTTAAGATAACAGGATATAGACAACAGTTTGTTTTTGATGATGCAATTTTTAAACGATATGCTTTGGAGCCAGGGGTCGAGAGTTTGATTTTAACGATTACTTTTGAAGACATCGATGATTGTTTTAATTTAGATCAAAATGATATATACATATGTGTATGTAAAAAGAACATAGTAACATTCTAAGTCATGCATAGGTATGTCCAAATGAAGAAAAAAATAAGCTCTGACAAGTTTTACACTCAAATAAAAAATGTAACGTTTAGATTTCAATATAATTGTATGGGCTACACAAAACACTTATTTGGGGTAGACAGGGTTAGTAAAATACATGCCAGCTATGTGTATTTTTTTATTAATGTTAAATTAATAAAAAAATATTACTACACTGTTTATTATTTTATTATTATTTATTTGACACACTACACATACATTTTGCAATTGAGGGATATGCAGACAAACAGTATGTAAGCTTATGATAAAAAACTGAAAATACCGCCTTCACATCTACCAAATTTTTAGCATTGTAGCAATGATCCTTTACCATACTTTTTTCTAAAGGTATAAGATGGCAAAGAAGCTGGCGCTTTGCCTGATGAATGGCCAAGTAGTTTCGTAACACCATAGGAGTTACTAAATATTACTGATTTATAAATTTAAATTTTTTATTGTGCTAATCTCTGCACTTACGCTTAGTGGCAAAAGCGTCAGGCGACAGCGCCGAGGATATTTTCGTACCTTTTCTACAAATTTTAAAATGTTACTGATACTTTAGGCAGTAATAGGCACTCTTCGTGCAGGTCGCTCAAGTGTTCCAGTCCACGAATACCTCTGGTACTAACTGTCGTTAACGAACCGTTATTGTAACGCGACAGATTCCGACTTGGTAGTAATACCGGCTGGAGTTCCGCGCAAGCCGGGCATGACCCGCGACGACCTGTTCAACACGAACGCATCAATCGTGCGCGACCTGGCGGCCTGCATCGCCCAGCAGTCGCCCAAGGCCATCGTAGCGATCATCACCAACCCCGTGAACTCAATGGTGCCGATCGCCTCGGAGGTCCTCAAGAAGGTGGGTACAACCGTTTTCTCTTGACCCACGAAATAGTGGTTTTACTGCCGATCCTAAAAATTGACGAATTCTACAAAATATCACTAATTTTAAATTAGAAACTATAGATATTATGAACATGAATTTGTTGCCCTTAAACAAATAAGTCAATGTAAAAAGGAGAAATACTCACATATGGCTTATTATATTTATCCCTTCTCTTTTTGTGGTTCACCCCAATAGATTTCTGTCAATATGCTTTGTGGCATAGTCTCTAAACTTTTCTTAAGACACTTCACACACATCAAACTTAAGACAAGACATAATAAGACAATTGATTTTTTTATGTGACTTTTTTTACATTGGTAAGCTGACATTCTAAATATAATAAATAATATAGATTAAAATTATGTGTAGACATTGTAAACTATATATTATTGCAGTAGCAACGTCGCTCTGACAAGATGTTTCATAAAGGATTAAGCATTCTTGGATAAGACCAAATGGGTATTGCAACTCTCCAGAGACGTTGACCTCAATTTGCATGAACAGTGATCTGATTGTCATTGTAAACATTCATATAATCAGTATGATTGTAACAGTGCATTGATATCTTACTCCCTAGTAGATAGACTTCACTTGTGGTTTAAATTTTGATTTGTTATAAAAGTGATTTGGTAAAAGGTGAGAAATGTTGATACTAAAGTAAAGAAATTGAAGATCTTGATACAAAGCTTGAAACGTGATTATGTAATTATTATGTTAATGACACTTGGTTTTGACCAACAATATGCGTGGACGTAATATGATCTATCATTCATTGTTATGTAAGTAACTGAAATTCGAACTTAGTCCATACACCTGACATGTAAAACTATAATGTTTGCATTCAAGTAATTCAAGAATATGGAATATGATTCTGTCATCACCATTGAATATTCTAGTTAAACTCAAAACCTATTATTTTAGCTGCACAATAACTTCTAAATACAATATTTTCATTTATTTATTGCATTATATTGCCTTCATTATGTTTTTAATGGAGATTTAGTTCAAAACATTGATAAATTCAATTAAACCATTTGTTATCCTGGAACAAATCTTACCGCTTCAGTTTGTCATAAAACAATGAAGCATTTATACCATGTTGTTTATACCGTTTATGCATTTAAATTGTGGAGGGTTGCACGAATAAGCAGGCTCGTTCAGGTATGTATCACGACCTAACAGACGACCAGCGTAAAGTGGAAGTATAATAATTTCGCGTTTAATCTGGTAAGTGACGTAGGCGGAGCCCAATTTTCAAAAGGTTGTCAATGCAATTGCAACCGTCGGGTGTATCAGATGTCCATGCGCTGCAGTATTCACTTAACATCAGGTGTTCCTGCTCGCTTGGCAACTTTTCACATTAAAAAAATACCATATTTCGTGTAAACAAACACGGAACTCTCTTGCTCATGATTGTAATTTCTGACGCTGCCCTTATCCCCACAGGCCGGAGTGTACGACCCGGCTAGGGTGCTCGGCGTGACGACACTGGACGTGGTGCGCGCAGCCGCCTTCATCGGCGAGATCAACGGCGTGGACCCCGGCAAGGTCAGCATCCCCGTGATCGGGGGCCACTCGGGGGTCACCATCATCCCGCTGCTCAGCCAGAGCAACCCCCCCGTCAAGCTCAGCGACCAGGCCAAGATCGAGGCGCTCACCAAGAGGATCCAGGAAGCCGGCACCGAGGTCAGTACCCGCTGTGCGATAGACATCGCTTTAAAGTATAAAACAAAGTCATCCCGCTCTCTGTCTGTCCCTATGTGTGCTTAGATCTTTAAAACTACGCAATGGATCTTGATGCGGTTTTTTTTTACTAGATCAAGGGTTACAAGAGGAAGGTTTATATGTATAATACATAGCACCCGTGCGAAACTGGGGCGGGTCGCTAGTCTATTATAAGACAATGTATTTTGTCACTATTCAATGGCCCCATCTATTATGAATATAAATCTTATCTGTGCCTATATTATATAAGTACCATTGAGTCATCTATTATGAAATCATGCAAATCTAATCTCTGCCTGAATTATGTAACATGGCACTACTACAATAATCTCTAATAAACATACATATAGAGGATAACTTTTTAATATTGTTTTAAACATTCACTTTCATTAAACATAACAACATTTACCAGGTTATCAAAAACAAATAATTTTAGAACATAATATAAAACTGTACGGTAAAGTTCATTTGTAAAGGTAAATGAATTCAAAAGAGATAAAACATATGGTTAGAAGGAGAGACTTGTAATGCGACGTTGTGGCATTAAAATTAAAGTCTCTGAACATATAAATCAGTCAGTTGTAGTTAGTTGTATAGGATGTTACAAATTTTGTTTCTTTTGTATTTAATTAGTGTGTTTGAAGGCAGGTAAGCTTTAGTGTATTTATTTAAGGTCGCGGTTGTAACATCATATTGTATAAGTACTTTGAAGTCTGAATGTTTCCATTGTTAGCTCATAGGAATTGGCTTTCTGCCTTTTGTTGTGTGCAAAATTGTGCTAGATTAGTTTCGCTCTGAATTTATTCTTCCAATTTAAATAACCAACATTTTTTGAAAACAAGGATATTTTCAATCGGGTCCTATTTCAAATTCATTGGTATTGTACTGTGAGTTTTTCGAACACAAGGAAACTGGAATAGGAAATCTAAATTGTTTTGAAATCAATTTTATTAATAAAAATGTTACTCTCGACTTATTTATCTAGTCACTATCACTCTTTCATATCTTTATAAAGCTGCAGCCGATAAGATTGTCTCTGTCTCAATGGTTACAGGTTTTAATTTTTTTTTAGGGAAATCTGAAATCTGAGGGAAGCCGCTGTTTTTGTGTATGACTATATTTTATTGAGGTTTTTGTATTTCAGGTGGTGAAGGCAAAGGCTGGCGGGGGCTCTGCCACCTTGTCGATGGCGTACGCGGGCGCTCGCCTCGCCGGAGCCGTGCTGAAGGGACTCAAAGTGAGCATTCGCTGCCATTAACTCACTTTCTCGCACTGTGATATACCGATGTGATGATTTAACATTTTTCTAGTAGGATAAAGTTGAAATCTATTTATGGCATGTCTGTAATAATAATAAATGAAATAATAGTTAATGAAATTCAGTTTTTACCGAATGGCTCAGTCGCTGCAGTTGTTTAGGGAAAAGTTCTTATGTTGCTAATAGTTGACCCGTGCGAAATTTCGCCAAGTATCATGAGGAGGAAAGGTATCTTATTTCGAAGAATAACCACAAAATAAAAAGAGGGAAGTAAAATAATGTTAAATTCAGCTTACTTTGTTATCTTTCCTTTGAACAAATTGTAAATAGATGGCATTATCATACATTCTTTATAAAAAGTTTTGTAATCAATAGTATTTTCATTAAAGCATCTTTATTGTATTTATTCATATTGCGCCAAACGTGACAAACTTAATCGTTAAAATTGTGTAAAACATTATGTATTAAGAAGAATATAGTATCTATAAAATTTGTCTAGAAATTACCCACAAATGATTGTTTCTATTAATTTCATGTGTGGTTCTCATTCGCAGGGCGAGAGCAACGTAGTCGAATGTGCGTACGTCAAGTCCGACCTTACGGAGGCGAGCTACTTCGCCAACCCGCTGCTCTTCGGCAAGTGCGGAGTGGAGAAGAACCTAGGCTATGGCAAGCTGAACGAGTACGAGCAGAAACTCCTCAAGGCCGCCATCCCCGAGCTCCTGAAGAACATCAAGACCGGAGAGGATTTCGCCAAGAAGTAGATTTATTGTCCCCGTTTGGTCTACCAGGCCACAGAACACCAAGCAACACACTCCGCTATGTAGTATTGATTGTGTTGCTCTTGTGCTTGAAGATATAAATGATGAAAGAAATTGATTCTATCTGAACTGTTGTAAATCTTAGTTACCCCTTTCCTGGCCTGGTTAAATGAGTGTGATATGGTGAAGCTTAGATGTGATGTCTGTTAGCCGACTACACACTAACCCACTATTTATTATGTTTATGTAATAAATTATCATATTTGTATGATTTGAAATGTTTATAAAATGGTGTTCTGTTGCATTTTATTGTGATTGTTCACCCCTGCTGTGTATTGGCAGGGGACAGCATCCAGCGAAAGGCACAATGTGATTGTTGCGTTCGTGGCGGATGCAAGTTGTTTGTAAATAAATTACAGTACCATTGCATGTTGCCAGTAATTAAATTACTACATTAAGAATTGTTTCTCATTTCTTCCCCTTATTAAGCGTTTTTTGTTGGCGCTTAAGTACATATACAACAACGGGCATTAAGAATCCTTGAAAAGTGGAGTTTTCACAATTCAATCCTTGTAATTATTGTAGTGGTCTGAGAATTGTTGTATAGTCATAACTTTGCAGCTTAAGTTTGGGGTTTTTTGGTTGAACAAAATAAAATGATGTTAAGAGAGATATTTTCAATTCCACATAAAATACCTTAGAAGTAAGAATACCACCCAGATTTCCTGATAAACCACAAACTCCTTTTATATCGCGGGGTTCTCTTGCGAAATTAAATAATAAAGATTTTAATACGTAGAAGGTAAACAAATAGTATAATAAAAATCAAAATCGATCCATATTAGAACTTTAATATTTTAGGCACATAGGAACACTGCTTTCACAGCATATACTTTACGTTTGCTTCAAATAAGCGAAAGCGATTAACTCAACAGTTACTTTAACCTTGAAGAGGTCAATCCAGCGCAGTAAGCGAGTTGTTAAAGAACGTACACACCTTGCGGTATATGCGCAGATGAGATCTATTCTCGAAGAATTCGATGTAGATTTCTATCATGAGTAGCACTAAATACGCCGAGAAGACGGTTACTCCGGTCCAAGCGCGGGTCTTAGGGTTGCTGTAATTACTACGGGGACTTTTATCCATAACTAAATTATTTTATAATAGACCCACCCGTCACACCGAATCGTGACATTGGCACCGGAGGTAAACTATATTTAGACTTTCTACATCTAGAGAACATTGCGAGTAACGTTGTTTTAAAGTTTACAATTTAGCTGTTAACTAAATTTCTTTTAATATATTGTTACAAGCTAGAGGTTCGGGTTTGGAGTGTAATGTCGGTTATTTAAAGTTCTTCTCTATATTTACACTTAAAAAAGTGCGCGGCGGCCCTCTTGGTGTCGCATAAATCTTTCACTTTGTTACTTCACTATTTTTCTTGTTGAGCACCAATAGTAGGGCCACGTAACAGTCTTCAATCTCTGTTGCACTTCTGCGTTTCGTCTGGTGAGTGAGGTAGCCGGGGCCCACATTATTAAGATGTGGCAACGCATCTACAACCCTACAGATGTTGCAAATATGCATGGGCAGGCAGTTATCACTTAACATCAGGTGAAGCGCCTGCTCGCTTGCCACTTTCTCACATAAAAAAAGTAATATACGAGTGAGTATCAGTATTTAACTATTTTTTATACTATATTGTGGTATAAACAGAACATTGCAAATTTTTCTTAAATCCGAGGTAAATAGATACAAAAAAGGGATGGAGGAAGGGAATGTTGATAAAATACATGATATGCAGAAGAAACAGGGCAAGGGAAAGTATGCAGCCTTGGGGGACACGAGCATTCACGGGTTTGGTGTCAGTCAGTTGCATAATTTTCAGGAAATCCACAAGAAGTGATTTTGAAAAGAAGGGCTCCGTGCCAAACCCGGTCGAAGGCTTTCGCTATCTACAAGTGACCGCCAATACCTCCTCCTTAGTCTCAACTGTCTTCGCCCACCGATTATTTAGTCAGACTAAAAGATGACTAGCTGAGCGATCCTAACGAAAAACATACTGACGATCAACAATCAGCAGGTGCTCCTCAAGGTACCTAAGGAGCTGACAGTTGATAATGAACTCTATAATCTTGAAGAACAAAAAGGTAATGGCAATAAGCCTGTACTTGGACGGATCCGAGCGTTCACACTATTTAGGGTTCGGGTGCACTGAGGCCGTCTTCGAAGAATTTGAGACAATACCTCGGAAGTAGGAATTGCGGAAAAGACGCGTAAAATCGGTGCCAATTCCGAAGCGGACATCGAGCTCTTAACGCACAAAGCTCGACGTCCTAGCGTCTAGTGTTGAGTTAAACGCAAAAAGCATGCTCAATAGGTCGGCTTTACCTTTTGCTGTGTGGCCCAACGAGTAACTTACACTTAACTGTTGCATTTTGAGTCACGTATGCAATTTGGCATCAAAACACTGACGGGAAGACAAAATGGATTACAAAGAAGAAAATGAAAACAACCTTTAAAATTTGTAGAAAAAATTACGAAAAGTTTTTCACCTCTGTGGGAATCGAACTGGATTCGCACCCTGATGAAAAATTTTTCGTAGTTTTTTTACAAATTTTAATGTTTAATCTTAAGTGAAAAAACCAACTAGTTTACTTGTATTACGAGGGCGTGTTTATATAATAAGTTATTATATTTTTCGATATAGTCGTTGTATGCGTTTATGGTCTATTGTGAGCAAACGCGGCATATCCGCAAGATGGGTATAGCTTTCTCATACCAAAGTGATAATTAAAAATTGAAACTTTTCATTAAAAATTTTCTACTTTTTTCCACTTTTTTCATAAAACGTCACACAAACTAAATAACCAAAGAGTACATTATTAATTGGTGGGTGAGTACTTTAACTGGTTCAAATTTAGACAGAGGAGTCAACTGTCAGTTGCCTGTTGACAAGAGTAGTGTTGCCATTTCAATTAAGAGGTGTGAAATTCAAAAAGTCACGCAGTTATTGACCCGCCCTCGTATAAATGTGTTTTTAATTTAATGTAATTTTTTAATGGAAATTTAATTTGAATGCTTTTCAACTGACTTCAAAAAAGGAGTAGGTTCTCAATTCGGTTGTATGTTTTTTTTAAAACGCCGTCATTTATGAACCGATTTTAATAACTCTTTTTGCATTGGGTTTAGTTAGGCTCCCATATTTATTTCATTTGTGTTGAACCTTTATCTCCGGAGAAACGTCAGGAACTTCTCAAATTTATTTGAAATCCGCAACTAAGTAGAAAATGTATAGAGTTATTTGAAGTTTAAATGCTTTGAAGTGTAATAGGATACTTTGAATAGCAACAATTTACCAAATTTATAGGTTAACGGTGTCCAAAATGTTATAAAAGATATTAAAATAGTATTTCTTTACTTCATAATCACAAGTATTATACATAGTTTTTTCTGACAACCAAACTACCTTGAGTCGAATCGTGAAGTATTATAAAAAAATTGAAACCAACATTTTTCCATTACTACATCTTAAGAACAAATTTGAACCCATAATTAAGGGAATGAAAAAAAATTAAGGGTCAAAGGTTTACACAATATAAAAATGAGGTGACTCGGTGGCGCCGTTGCTAAGCTATTGGCTTCGGCGTCGGGGGTCGTGGGTTTGATTCCCACACGGGACAAGTATTTATGTGAACCACAGATTGTTGCGGATCTTGGTGTTTGTGTCCCTAGGAGGGTTGACTTCAGGCAGGCGGCCGGTCGTAAAAAAAAAACATAGGCAAATCCACTTACGTGGTTCACACGTTGTGCCGGCCCCACCTAGGTGGGATAAGGGCAGGAGGATGATGATAAGAACGATAAAATAAAACACTGCGTAGATTTGCATCTTATTTATTGATTTGTCCTCCCAAAACTTTGTTTTCGCTTACGGTCGGACTTACAAGGATTATCTTTTCTTTCGGCTACTTACATAACATTACAGTTCTTTATAAAGAAATCACAATGTGGAGAGAGGCCGCCGAACGCCGTGCGCGCTGCCCACCTTTTATCCTGTATCAGTCTAATCTATGATCGAGCACGATGAGCCGTATTTACACATGATCGCAATTTTTTGCATCAAATAAAACTTAATCTAGCTAATGAAATGTCGACGCGGTTAATGAAAAACTTCGAAATATTTGAAACAAGGGAACAATTCCGGTGCGGCATTCGCACGGCGGCGGACGGCGAGGCCAACACGCGGACAAACAAGCGCGCACGTCCACACGCACGCACGCAAACACGCAAGCAACCACGCCCGCACCGCCCACTCATAGCCCGCTCAGTCGACACTCACGCGCCGAACCAAAATGAAATCTCTATACGTACGCTTAACTAACCATCCGTATAATTACAAATGCACAGTATGTATACGTAATAAACCATACACTTTTACAATATATGTATATAATTTACCTTTTAATAATCCGTTAACCGTGTTTACACTATGTATAGTAGGGGCTTATCATGCTACTTTCGGCCCGGGTCCACATTGCGGACACCAGCGCGCGCCGCTCATTATCACCACATACTTAATGCTACGATATCAAAAACGAAAAAGGTAAACGTAAAACAAAAACGAACGAACTATTTACAGGAGACGTGAAATATAAATTCAACTACGCGTACGCTAGCTGCAGCGCGCTGGTGACGGCAACGTGGCCCGCGTCGGGGCCTCTTACCAATAATTACAGTTATTCATTCATCCCTTTATTTATATATTTATATTTATACGTAATAAAAAAAACACTTAGTCTCGTTAGAAATAGTCGCGCAGTGCGTAGAGCTGGTCGGGCGGGGCGGTGGCCCGTCCCCGCGTGTACAAGGCCGACGGCCGTACCGTATGTACACTGTACACTGTACACTGTACAGAGAGCACCCAGTGCAGCAAGTGATGGACAAGTGCTGCGCCCCGCCCCCGGAACGATGGAAGACTGGATATAATAGTACAAGTACTCGGTCGCACCGTTTCGCGTTTATCGTCTGCCACTTAACACTATGAAGTGGAAATACAGCCACGTGGCAGTGGTCGGCTGGAGGTCGCTCGCCCGCCGCGCCTCCCCTCCCCCCCCCCCCGTCGGCTCCTTTACAAATATATAAAAATAATCTACGCGCACAAGTCCGCGCGGCGGGCGATCGCAGTGGAACAAGGAAATAAATAACAATTCAACAATAACTGCACTCGCGCTAGTCGACGGCGAGTCCGTTTTCCCGCTATCTGCATCGTTCCGCACTGTCGTTCGCGATGACGTCACAGGATTAGTCCGTCGGATTGCGATGACGTCACCGGCGTCAACGCGGCGGGGCGTCCTAGCGGACGAGCGTACCCAGCGACGAGATCGTACATTTCAATTTTAACTAGCTCAATAGAGCACGGATGTCGTTAGTTGTTTGTATCGATCACTAGTGAAATGTCCTTGTCGGAGATACAGGCTAATTACGATTGACAACAGCGCCATCTGTCGCGTGGAAGTGAAATAAGACAGCACTCACCGTCCGCGGCGGCGGCCACGTTGAGCGCCGAGAAGGGGTACGCGTAGGCGGTGGGGAAGGGGAGCGGCTTGGCGCGCTCGTCCGCGTCGCTGCGCATCACCTCCACGATGCGGTTGGTCACGTAGTCGTAGGCGGTCAGCACGCCGCCCGCCACGCCCACGCCCACGCCCACGCCCACGCCGCTGTAGCGCCGTCCGCCGCCGCCCCTGGCGCACAACACACCGCTCAGGACGGCTGTCTCCAGCGAGCAACGACATAACGACATTCAGAGATTTTAACGATCGACATCTGCTACACCCGAGGGTTACAGATGCGTTGACAACCTTTTGAAAATTGGGCTCCGGCCACCTCACTCACCAGACGAAACGAAAAAGTATTATATTTCCTTTTCACGCCGGTCTTCTGTGCGGTCGTGGTACTCACCCGGACGAGCCTGCCCATTCTTGCAACAGCCGAGCGTGGCATTACCAGCCTACCGTGTCGCAGCACCCGAGAAGTGGAGGCCCAAAAAGGGTTCGCGGAAGATTGCGTCCACGTGTACCCGCGCGTCCCCGGCCGATGTGACAGAGACGGGTGCAACGTGGGGTCTTCAGTGGGTAATACCCGTTTCTGACTGGGACTCCCTCGTACCCCAGCCCTTCCTCCAATCCGGTGGCAGGGGATCAAAAAAAAGGCTTGCTAGGGCCGGGCACGTACCTGTTGTGATGGGTATCCGGCGGCGAGACGGGCTCGAGGTAGGGCGCGTGCTTGGGAGCGTCGCGGCGCCACTCGTCCGCGCCCCCCGCCCCCGCCCCCGCCGCCCCTCCTGCTCCCGCCCCGCCCCCGCCCGCCCCGCCTCCCGCCCCGCACGCCACCGCGCCGTACCCGTCGGCGCCGCCTATCGCGAACCGACTGCTGCGGACGCAACCGGTTACTTAGTGGCCAATGTGGTAGTCTCGAAAGCAAGTTCATACACTACTGGGCTAGTGTTTATGACCGTAAAGTGGGGTTTAGTCGAGCGAGAGTCGTTGATATAGTACTTACTTATGGTGTTGCAGGGAGGTGGTGGGACTGCAGAAGTCCCTGGTGATGATGTTGGACGCGAGGTCGCCCAGCTTGATGCTGGTGGTGTGCGCCGTGCTGACCTCTTCCCTCTCTCTTTCTCTTTCGCGCTCTCTCTCCCTCTCGCGCTCGCGCTCTCTCTCCCTTTCCCTCTCGGAGGGCGTGGGCCCCCTCTCGACGGCGGGGGGCGCGCCGCTCACGCTGGAGGGGGGAGGGGCGCTGCACGCTACGCTGCTGCCGTCGTTGTCACGTATCTTCTGAAACCGAGCCGGCATTGAGTTAGTGAAAGTGCGTAGGGCAGAACGCTTTAAAGGGAAACTTAAATGTAAGTGCCGTTAAATAAAATCGAAATATGAGCACTGCGCACATCAGAGATTTTCAAGGGCGTTAGAAAGAGTCACTCTGCAGATGTTCTTGGCACTTTAAAAGTATGGTGTTAGAACTGCAAGAGCATTGAGGCATGGAACTAGCATTAAGAAGCCTACTCAATTATTTATCTAATTAATTATCTGTGATCTTAAAACGGCACCTGCACCTTAATCTAAGGTTGATATTAGATTCAGACAAGAACTGTGCATTCGAATTTATTTCATGGGAAAGTCATTTCGTCTCAGTATCCTATACGGGCCATGTGCCTAACGAATTAGTATCGGTGCCGTAAAAGGCAGTGATTGGGGTATCTGCCTAACGTATATACGTTTATACGATATTAATGTAATATCGGTGCCGTAACAGCTGGCGATTGTGAGGTGCGAGTGCCCACCGGAAAACGCTGGTCGCTGCTCTGGTTGATCTGGTGCGTGATGATGGCGTTGATGAGCGAGGCGGCGGTGAGCTTTCCGTCCACGGGCAGCCCGCGCGCCTCCCCCGCCGCGCCCACCCCCGCCCCCGCTGCCGCTGCCGCCCCCGCCCCCACCACGGCGCCGCCCGCGATCCCACCCCCGCCCCCGCCCGCGCTCACCACGCTCACGCTCGCCGAACTCACCACGCTCGGCGAGCAACTCACCGTCGTTCTCCTGTCGGAAACAAAATATTATATTCAATATGTAACACGCTCCGTGGCGCAGTTGCCAAGGTATTGGCTTCTGCATCGGGGGTAGTGGGTACAACTGTTTATGCGACCCCATAGATGTTTGTTTCGGATCTGGATGTTTGTTCACGTGAAAATTATCTTTACTAAAGTAGAGATAAAGTTTTTTTTTTTATGTATTCAAAAAAATTTGCTCTAAGAAAGGAGCAAATAATCAATTTTTTAATTCAATTTTTTACACAAGAGATGGCGAACATTGGTATGTGTTTTTAGTTAATATTCTTACTACTCTGACTGTGACGATTCACTGACAGGAGCCGAGTCGATTATGCATTTGGGTGTTTGATTAATTTTGCGAAAAATTAAAGAAAAATTCGAATAACTTTAAACGATAGGCGCCTGTTTGTGTGTGTACGAACGTGTTAGGGGCAGTGATAATAATTTTTTTTTATTTTTATGTGAAAAGTTGCCAAGCGAGCAAACGGTTCACTTGATTTTAAGTCAATATCGCCGGTCTTGTGAAGTCGTGGTATTTACCCGGACGAGCCTGCCCATTCGTGCAACAGCCGAGGCTGGTGCGTGGCCCTGCACGGTAAATAGATAAGATCATTGGCACTGACGGGTCCTTCCTGTCGAGCAGGTGCTGGGGCAGGGCGCGGTGCTTGGGCGGGCCGTAGGGCGCCGGGCGCCGCTCCTCCGCCCCCGCCCCCACCCCGCCCGCCCCGCCGGGGTGCTGCAGGTGGTGCCGCTCGTGCATCATCTGCGTCTGCTGCGGCTGCGTATGCTGCGTGTGCTGCGTATGCTGCGCGTGCTGCGGGTGTTGTTGCTGGCTCTGCGCGTGCTGCGTATGCTGCGTATGCTGCGCGTGCTGAGCGTGCTGGTGCTGCTCTATCACGTAGTGCCGCTCTTGTATCGTCACCATGCCGGCCCTGGAACGGGACAGTCCGTGGATCGGGTCAGTTCAACGCGACAAGCCCTCCGATGGAATGACAGTATTACTCTAGCTAGATGTAGTAGCTATGCTTTCAGTTAATTTCATCTATGTGGAACTCTACACGTGTCAGTGATGACCTTGTCCAACATATAGATGACACAAAAATGGATCGAATCCTCGAGTTCCCGGAACACAAGTAGACACGAGCAACCCGAAAGAGTGTACGCACCGGTCTCTCGGCTGCGGGGGGGCCCGTTCCCGCTGCGTCTCGTATTGAGTCTGTAACGTGCGCCGCTCCCTCTCCTGCTGGTATTGTATCGATTGGTGGTACTTCTGCGACATTGGGAAGTCACGCTGTGGCCTGCTGAAGAATTATTAACTTGTGATTTTTTTTCGTTTCACATAATATACCCGGTTTTGGAGCGAATGAGAGTGAACAGGCGATATGGATTATGAAAAAAGTCACGAGTTATTTGATGAAATAATCGGTTTATTTCAAAGCAGACTTCGGAATAAAAAGATTGTCGTTCTTCGTTTTTTTTTAATGTGAAACAAGCGAGCAGGATTGAATGAAAAAAGGGCCTCTATTCATGGAACAGCTGTAACCATTGTGTTGTATATATTATTGAAAACTTTTGACATTCACGTTACCAAAAATATTACTGCAGATGTATAAATAGAGGCGATAACATCAGTTTAATAAGGAAATATGATCAAAATCAGACACGATTGCCGAGATTAATCTGGATTACGCACAGTGAACATTTGCATAGAGATTACGGTATCGCTGTTTGTGTGCATTCATAAAGCGTTTGTAAGTCATGGGAGTTACCTTAGTTCGTAGGTATGCTGCTGGTGCTGCGGGTGCTGCGAGTGCTGCTGGTGCTGCGGATGCTGCTGGTGCTGCGGATGCTGCTGGTGCTGCTGATGCTGCGGGTGCAGTTTCGGCTCGGGCTTGGGGTCCGGCTGGGAGCCGCGCGGGACGGGCAGCGCGGGCGCCGCAGAGGCAGCGTTCACCAGCGACGTGAACGCCTCGTGGCCTGGAACGTACGCCTCGTGGTTCGGTATGTGTTGCTAGACCGCGGGCCGCGGGATCAGTACGTGGCGTGAACAAACGATACCTTTTCATAATGCAACAGCATTTATGGCGTACTAGCTTTTCGCCCGCGGCTTCGCTCGCGTTGAAGTTCATAAATAAATATCTTTCTTTAAAAAAAAATAGCCTATGTCCTTTCTCAGGCATTTGACTATCTGTGTACTAAATTTCATTTAATCGGTTCAGTAGTTTTGGCGTGAAAGCGAGAGAGACAGACGGAGTTACTTTCGTATTTATAATATTAAGTATGTAAGTATGGATAAAGGCGGCTACAGCTAATTGTTCCGAGTTTCAACTTTGATGAAATTTTAGCAGCCGGACCTTCTCTCTGGATTTGTGTGTGAAAAGTTTAATTAGCAGCGAGAAAAAGATATAGGGTCGTCACCTGGCGGCGGATGCGGATGCGGGTACGCGTGCGCGTGCGCGTGCGCATGCGCGTGGGGGTGCGGGTGCGGGTGCGGGTGGGCGTGCGTGTGGCGCGTGATGACGGAGACCGCGTCGTGGTCCCTGCGCGGCGGGTCGGCGCCGCGCCTCGCCGCGCCGTGCATCTGCTGCGACGTGATGAAGTCCGTCAGCATGATCTGGCGCCGCTCCAGGTGGTAGCCGCTGCCGCCGGTGGCGCCCCCGCCGGCCGCCGCGCCCGCCGCGCCGGCGCCGCTCGACGGCTGCGGAGCGCGTGACACGTGAGTGGGGTGCCGCCGGGCGGGGAGGGGCCCGCCGGGGCCGCCGCGCACGCTTACCGTGGCGAACTGCGAGGGCGACGGCGACTGCGGCCTCGGCTGCGCGTAGTAGGCGCCGGGGCTGCGCCGCTTGAAGTAGGCGTCGAAGGGGCGCTTGTCGGGCGGCGCCGCGTGGTGCGGGCCCAGCACGGGCGTGCCCGCCGTGATGGAGCCCGCCTTGGGCTCGAAGCGCTCGCCGAGCGGCGTGCCGGCCGTGATGGAGCCCTTGGCGTTGCCCTTGGCGGGCGCGCGCGCCGCCGCCGGCCGCGCCTTCGCCCCGTAGCCCGTGGGCGACTCCCGCTCGGGCGCCCGGTACGTGTACTCGTTGGCCGTGCGGCACGTTTGCTGCGGGCGGCAGTTCTCCTTCATGTTTTTGTTTGGGTTACCTTTTTCTGGTTAGTACGATATGTTCTTGTAGGCGGTATACAGGGAGGCTTTTCTAAGTGTATCCATTTTTTTTTATTAAATTCTACACATAAATAATGTTTTACAAAAAATTATAAATATTTAAAATCACTCGTTATTAATTAAATACGTTCATTTGAACTTATCTCAAAAAGTGCGTGACTTATGGACAACATTTATTTTACGCGCGATCATTCATAACTAACACGCACACAAATTCGTTTCAAAAGTATACGACACATTTATGAATGACTACATTGTCATTCTTTTGAATGCATTGCCAACATGTTCTGTTTTTTAAGGAATGGAATGGCAATTTTTTTTAAAAAAAAGTTTATTTTTATTTCAATAAACGATTATACTACCGAGTCTGAACCACCTGTGAGAATTTGGGCACCTTTAGAAAAGCCACCCTGTTTACGGTTCTCTCGTTAACATTGAAGAAGAGAATACGCTTTTAGGCTAATGGCCATACCATAGCGAGAAAGCGTTTTTTCTTATTAATTTCTCGAGCGATTCTTTCGACCGATCTCATTGGGTGAGGAAATTTAAGCCTCCACCAGCAAATCTACATTTACATTTACGAGAGAGACGGCAGATGCATTGAGGAGCGGCCAACGCACCGGCTTGTTGGGGTGCGGGAAGGCGTCGTGGCGGGGCCGCTTGACGCTGAGGTCGAGCAGCGGCTCGTGGCGCTCGTGGCGCTCGAGCCGCTCGAGCCGCTCGTCGGGCGGCGGCAGCGGCGTGATGGTGGCCGGCCGGTGGGGCGAGCGCGGCGAGCGCGGCGAGCGCGGCGCGCCGGACGCGTGCGCGTGTGCGTGCGCGTGCGCGTGTGCGTGCGCGCTGTGCGGACCCACCACCGTCAGCGTGGCCAGCGACTCGTGCGCCGGCGGCTAACGAACGAGTTACTTCGTTAGTTAGACCCTCATTAATGACGCCTGACCGAATGAGGCACTAGACATCAGCCAAACTCCTTCCATTGTCAATAAGCAAGTAAGTAACCTATCGCAAATAATGGATTTTTTAACACATGTTCCGAGCGTTGGGGGTCTGAAGCGACAAAATCCATGGGTTCTACGTCAGGTTGTGTCACTATTCCTTACTTAGTACAATCAATAACACTATTAGGTTAGGAGTCATAAGAATTTTAATAAACAATCTGAGTAATAAAGTTTTCAATAATATTTTGCACACACTTATAGATGGGCCTTGTACCAAAGGGAGATATAGATACTACTTTGCACATTCGCTTTACATCCGTAACTACTTGCCCACCACTTGCTCAACTCAGAAGAACATCTTATAAATTCCTTCTTTAAACAATCTTGACGTACGCTCGTCAAAAAGAGGGCGATTGGACCCACCTTGGTGGTGTGCGTGGCGTGCGAGGTGTGCACCACGTGGTGGGGCGGCGGCCGCGAGTTCTTCAGCAGGCTGACCTCGATCATGTTCAAGACCACATCGCGGACAGTCATCGGCGCCGACGCCGTCGAAGGTACCGCCTAAAACAAGTAATATATAGTGATACCGGCTTGTTGTTCTACCACTCTCTTCTATACCGTACTCTTCAATTGATATCTGCCTTCAATCAGAGCGATAGGAATTTCATATCTCGAAACTATATTACAAGGCTGTGCTAATTTAGACCAGTCCAAAGAGCGGGAGAGAAAACTTCTAGTCCTCCTTAGACCGCACAATCCAGAGATGAATCGCCTTCGACCGATTTCCTTGCCCCATACCTTGGCGGCGGGCGCGTCGTTCTCCTCGTCGGCGGTCTCCGTCGCCGAGGAGTCGTACTCGTCGCGGCGGTGCCTCCTCGGCGCCACCGCGTCCGTCCTGGGCCCGGGCAGGGGCGGGGGGCGGGGCGAGCCGGCGCTGGCCGTGTCGCTGTCCGCGCTGCCGCTGTCCGCAGCCGCCTCAGCTCCACCAGCATCCAGCTGCAGCCGCTTGCGGTACGTGAAGTAGAACGCGCGCAGGCTCGCTGCCGCCCTGCCGCTGGCGGCCGCCATGCGCTCCCACGCGCAGCCGTGCTCGCGCAGAAGCGCCCGGAAACGGCCCGCCTCCTCCTCGGAGGGCTCGCCGAGCGAGGGCGCCCCGCCGAGCGAGTCGAGCCGCCGCGTGATCCGCTTGAAGCACGCGAGGCAGCACTTGCTCAGGTCCGGCGGGATCTCTGTACAAGCGTGCGCCATGTAGAACAACCGACTATCAGGAGAGAGGAGAAGGTGGCAAGCGAGCTGGCGGTCCACCTGATGTCAAGAGATGACCGCCGCCCTGTGTTGCGTGGACATTGCAACGCCCGTAAGGTATAGATGCGTTGCCACCCTTTAACAAAGTGGGCGCCTGCCACCACCTCGCTCACGAGACGAAACGGAGAGTCCACTGTCTTCTGTGAGGTCGTGGCATTTCCCCGACGGACCTGCCCATCCGTGCAACAGTGAAAACTGTTGGGTGGCCCCACCACAGTCAAAAAATTAGGGTATTGTTTTAATTAAAAAAAATATAGTAATCCCCAGTCAGCCCACTCACCAAACAAAACTGTAACACTTCCACATAACGGCGGTCTTCATCGAACTCACGATTCTTCCCCACGGGCGTGTACCGCACCACAGTAATCAAGACACAACCACCGTACTCACGGAACAGTACTGATCTGCCCAAAGGCCGTCGCGTGGCCCTGCCACAAAAACTAGACAGAGCCGATGTACTCACGGAACTCGTCGAGCAGCGGCCTCTTGAGCTCGGGCGCCAGGTCGTGCCAGCGCGGCGGCAGGTGCCTCAGCCGCTTGGCCCTCCCCGCGCACGAGGGCACGGCGCACCGGCCGCGTCTCGTGCGTGCCGTGCGCGCTTTGCACGCCTCGCAGGAGGAAGCGCGTGCGTTCGACGCGCACGAAGCGCACGACGCGCACGCACCGCCCGGCGAGCCGGCGCTCGCACTCACGGAGCCCGTGCTCGTGATCGTTATGGTGGTTGTCGAGATGGTCGAGGACGGCGTGACCGTCCGCTCGGTCACCGCTGCGGAACGGCAACATTGCTAAGTCATCGGTCGTCTGTGACGTGGGAATACAGTGGACGATACTTTATAACATACGGGGAGAGGACACATTGATAAGTCAACGGCCGTCTACGAAGCGGGAATATAATGGACGATACTTTATGATATACGGGAACATAGTAAAAATACCACATGGTACAACAGGAAGATGGTTTTGGACGACTGTCAGCTTAGATTTCGATGTCATTTAATAAATAAGAAAGCGAAAGAAATGTTGACACTTCGAAAGGCAAAAGCTGTGGTACATTAACTTTGCATGTGCAGATTTCTAAAACTATACTAAACGTTTCAATTCAACTCGGAACTCCAACAAACTGGCGCGTTTCTATCAAATCATATACGAATAAAGTTACTGTACACACCGCTCGCTCGGTTCGAAACGATGCCGATTAGTAACAACACGTCCAACGCTCTCCCGTAGCGCAGTCTGAACGCCGGCTTCGGTTATCTCGTGCAAAATTCACACACGGAACCGCGGTCCCGTCAGATTTGGCCCAACGTCCGGCTCAATTATTAATGGTCCGATCCATCGGGCCGCATTGTTTCGGCGATGGACGTTAGTCGGGTGCCCGGCCGTATCGCTCGTGCATTATTAACAGCGAATTAACTTGAACGCGGATCCACTTAAGTACGGAACGTTTCGGATCATAGAATTATAAAATCTACGTTAACGATGGAAGATCTGTAAATTATTCCCATTTGCAATGTTTATTGCTGTTATTTCGAGAGGCTCAGCTTTATATACAATAATTCTTCTGTACGTGTAGGTATATGTCACTGAACTCTTAAACGGCTGGACCGGTTTTATTTAATTTTTTTGTGTCTTCTTTGGGTTTATTCAAGAATGGTTTAGATTCCCATTTTTTTTTAAGTTGTCGTATTTATGTACAGGACAACGTCTGTCCGGTCCGCTAGTAAACTTGAAATTACTTAAAATTTGTCCAAGTGTTTGCGAAAAGTTTCACAATTTTTTACGAGTCTGATGATGTTGGACTGAAAATCGGATGTTCCACGTTGCCAGCGGTATTTTGCGTACAATATGATTCTTTTTCCCTTAAAAACAAATCACATTTGAAACCGGTGTTCAAGAAGGTTCGTAGAAACTCTCCCTAACCCGCCAATAGACGAACGACCGACATGTTATCGATTTTTAACTTTATCCTTCCCAAATTAATTTCAACTCCACCAATAATGACGCGGCGCTTAACTAACAGATAACAAATAATGCTTTGATACGAGAAAGCAGGCGCAAATTGTTACCCAAACGCGTTAGAAAAAAAAAAAACTAACGCCCGGATTCTGAAACACTGATCATCGTAGAAATTAACTAATCAGCTGTCAAATAGCTTTTCAAATGTCATTTGACTTGCCAAAAGGATGGTTGAACTCTTTGAATTTATCATTCTGATCTAGATTAGTTAACATCTACGATGATTAGTGCTTCAGAAGCCGGGCGTTAGAGCATTCCGCCGTCGGTCGAAGTATTTAACAGAGTAGCGAGTGTACAGAGGTGCGCTGTTTCAACTAAGCTAACCCGACTTTAAACGTTACAGGGAATGGTGAAAGACAAACTTGCAGAGCAAACCGCTCAAGGCGGAGCTTGCATACTCGATGATTAAGTGCGCTCGCTCGTGAAACACCGAAACACAACTGCAGACGTTTCCAGAGTGCAGACAGCGACATATTAATTAATTCGAATTGAAATATCAAAGGACATAGAAAAAGTTTACAGGATGCACTTTGCTACTGGACTTAACAGCGAGCGGACCCGTTGAAGAATTAAAAAGAAGGTAATACAAGTTGTGGCCTTTCAACGTTAACACAAGGAGGTATATTAAATTTAAAATAACTGAAAATTAAGACGAAGCGGTAAATATAAACATATTTAGATCAAGGCAAAAGGAAAAGCTACAAACTTAAGTTTTCTAGCCTATTATGTATTGAACTAATAAATTGATTTCTTTTTTTTTTTTTTTTTTTTTTTTTTTTCACTTTATGGGAAATATCCATAACTGCTGTACCAAATGTGATGCGTCAATTTTGATGTTTCTTAGATTGGCATTTCACATTTCCTTCTGAAAAGACGTGTGTCTGTCTGAATAATAGTTTAAATAGTTTGGAGAGCTACCTACAATTGAGATTAGCGTCAATTCTGGCGCGCATCTCGCGCCCTCACCAATTAGCGTTCTCGGGCGCTGTGCAAATAGCGAGTTTAAACTTCAAAATCTCAGTATTCCAATTTGCTGTACTGGCGCGGAACTCTCGGAGAAGACTAAAATTATTCACTGGAAATGACTTCGGGAAGGTGATTTATTTTGTTAAAATGGGGAGGTTTTTACTTATGATTCCTTATGCCTTCGTTTTTAGCACATCTTCGACTATTCGATAAATTTCGATGACTCTTCGAGCATCCCGTCTTAGTGGTCACTTACGATATCTTTGCTTCTATTTCCACCTGTTTACTAAGCGATGTGTCATAAATATTCAAAGTGTGTCATAAAGTCAATGTGTCATAAAAATTCAACATCGATTCCTACATGAACTTATGGTTACACATAATATTGTTTATATATATATATATATATATATATATATATCGTTATGTTAAGGAAATCGTTAGGTTAAGGAAATCGATAATATTCAATCACCGATTTATGTGTGCCATCGATTCTTTTTTAATTTTGCTTTAAGCGCGCTAATCAAGCTTATTGCGTTAACCTATTTGGGATCGGCACAATCATCTTGTAAGAGATTTTGGCTAGGACGTCGACCCTCCGTGGGGAAAATAAAACACCTAGACAAACACCTAGATCCGGAACAATTATCTGTGGGTTACACAAATACGGGACAAGTATTTGCGTAACCCACAGATCTGGGTGTTTGCCCACGTGAAATTTATGTATGTAAAACGTCCTTACAAAACAGTATAAGGTTATATACAGTGAGGGGGCAATGTTTTCGAAGTGAATACTACAATAGATGGGATCTATACCCCATCTATTGTATCATCCATCAATAGATGGTTCTACCCCAATCACGCAAAATATAAATACAAAACAGTCATCCAACATTATTCGATCGTAGAGCATAGCGCGCGCCGAGTACACTTCCAGCGGTCCTAAATCCACAACGGCCACTGTCGATTAATCCCGTCCAATTACTGATATTTGCACGAGCACTAATTGGATCCGGCCCCCGCGATCCGCTTAATTACACAACGTATTATTCAGCCAGGAGCGGTGTTTTCGGTCAAAAACGGTACCGACAGTATCGGAAAGTATCGTCAGCGAATATGCCCACAATTGTTCTAAAGGAACTATCGATATTCGAATATATACAGGGTGGCTTTTCTAAAGGTGGCCAAATTCGCACAGGAGGTCCAGACTCGATAGAATAATCGTTTATTGAAATAAAAAAAACTTTAAAAAAAATTGCTATTACATTCCCTAAAAAACTTGTTGACAATGCGGTAGTCATTAAAAAATGCGTCGTATAATTTTGAAACGAACTTGTGTGCGTGATAGTTATGAATGATCGCGCGTAAAATAAATAAGTTGCCCATAAATCACGCGCTTTTTGAGATAAGTTCAAATGAATGTATTTAATTACCAGTGATTTTAAATATTGATCATTTTTTATATAACGTTATTTGTCCAGAATTTAATAAAAAATTGGATACACTTAGAAAAGTTTCCCTGTATAATAAGCGTTTAAGATAAAAAAAATATGTTATTTCAATCTGCTTGAGCTAATGTAATAGTAGACTATGATATAAAACTATCTCTTTCGGCGAGCTTTTACAACAATCACGCATTTAGGCGAGTTGCTTGCTTTAAAACTTAATACATGCAAGCTTCCAGCTTAAGTCAATGTTTCTTATTAATAATGAAACGTTTTTTTGCCGCGCTGAATAAAATCCATTGCGACATCGGAAATTGTCTACTCAGGTTTTTTTATGTGAGAATGTCGCAAACGAGCTGACGGTTCACCTGATGTAGTAATTACCTCCAGCCATTGACATTTGAAACCATTTACCTCAAAGGTACCAGATACGTTGCCACCTTTGAATAAAGTTGGCCTCGGCTACCTCACTAGATCAAACGCAGAAGTATAATGAATAGATGCTCCACTTCACGTCGGTCTTGTTTCAGCTTGTGGTACTTACCCGGCCGGACTTGTCCTTTCGTGCAACATTGCCGTGTTGCGTGGCCCTACCACAGTGGCGATTTATCTGCCAAGTTAAAATGTAAACTGTATCATCCCTAGCACGTTCGAAATGAAGCGGTATTTGAACAGGCGAGTTTGCGGCCGTGTCGCAATGTTTGCCGGCGCCGCCGAGCGTGACAATTTAACGAGGCTAGCGCTGACAGATAGCGTGTTTGCTAACAGCCACCGGCGCAAACACGGGGGAGACATCTTGCAGATTAAACGGCCGCTTTGTAACCGCACCGGCGTTGAATGCCCCCAGTCGAGATGCCTTTCAGGGTTCCGCACGCGAAGGGTAAAACGGGACCCTATTACTAAGACTCCGCGGTCTGTCTGTCACCAGGCTGTATCTCATGAATCGTGATAGTTAGACAATTGAAATTTATAACAGACGATGTATTTATGTTGCCGCTATATCAACAAATACTAAAAAACAGAATAAAAAAATATTTAAGTGGGGCTCCGATACAACAGACTTTTTGCCGTTTTTAAATAATGGCACGGAACCCTTCGTGCGCGAGTACGACTCGCACTTGGTCGATTTTTTTATGTCCTTTACATTTCTACCAATCGATTCATCTCGACTGCCTATCTCGGACGATCTGGTTATTTTTTAACTTTGTTTGGATTCCTTTGAGTGGTATTTATCACTAGTAGATTTTGCAATAGTTGACGCGCTGTGTTTTACATTGATAAAGCTCTCCTCTCGAATTTATTCAGTTATAGGAATACACTTACAGTCGAAGTAACATAAAAAAGTACAAGCGAATTGATAAACCTCCTTTTTTGAAATCGGTTGATAAGTTTGACGTTATTAAAGTATCAGCCTATACATGTCCCACTGCTGGGCAAAGGCATCATCTGTACCGAGGTTATCAGGGCATAGTCCACCACGCGGCGCCACTGCGGTTTGGCCGACTTCACATATCTTCGAAATATTTTTTTGTTATTTTTTCGAAAATATGCAGGTTACCTCACGATGTTTTCCTTCACCGCAGAGCACGTGACAATAATTCGGCACTTAAAATTAACAGTTTCATTGGTGCCGGCACCGGGGATCGAACTCAGGTTGCTCGAGTAAATTGAATTAAAGGCGAGCGCCCGGACACTGAGCTACCACGGCTACTTGACGTTATTATGGTCACCTATTACAGTCCAACGTCGTCAATGTTTCGCCTACCCCGACGGCAAGAATGAGCGTGAATGTATGACAGCAATGTTGAGTTAGGTCGCACATACAATTCGGTAATAGAACCCTTTACGTAATTGTTCAATTAATAAAAGCTAAAGGCAGGTGGAGACGTCAACGATCCGTCTGTGCGGCACGGCTGATTTGCCATTCCCTGTGAGGGATATGGCGCGGGATTAGCGGGCGCGTCGTGTCCCGGATTAAGCGCTCTGTGATGCGTTGAGCCCCTGCTCCCGCCTTTGGTGGCTGCGGACGTTTGACGGCTGTTTCGGCTAATGGTTTGCTGGTCGGCGCATCAATTAGGCGCTTTGGTCGTTGATGGCCAGCTATGATGATAGTGTATGTCCAGGGCCAGATTTAGAGGCCTGGAGGCCTCGGGGCAACAAAGGAGCGGAGGCCCCTTGGCCCCAAATTATTTTCTACTGATTTTTTGTTAATATTTAATGTAATCATGTTAGTATAAAGTACTGAAGGTAAAAGTAAAACGTGAAAAAAATATGAAAGGAGAAGTTGTTTACTATTGTTTACTAGTCTGAATTAGAATTTTTTTTCCGAAGTCTATCGTGGGGGCCCTCGTCTGTGGAGGCCCCGGGGCTGTTTCCCCGGTTGCCCTCCCCTAAATCCAGCTCTGTCCCACTGCTGGGTCCCACCGAACCTCGTTCCCATTCACTAATTCACTCAACGTAGACGACGCTAGCGGTTGAACAGTAGCAAGAGGTAAAAGATGCAGCCAGTGGTAGGTAATATCGTTATTTAAATTTAACTTATCTTCCATCTCATATAGTAAAGTAAAAGCAAAGTAACAGCCTGTGTCCGTCAGTATGTCTGACAGTATGTCCCACGGCTGGGCAAAGGCCCCCTCTGCACAGAGGGTATTAGGACATAGTCCGCCATGCGACCAAGTGCGAATCGGCAAAGAATTTTTGAATTTGGACTATTAATATGAATGCTAAGGTTTGCGTATGTGTTTGTTTATCGCGTCCCAACGGCTGGTCGTGTTTGTATAAAATCTGAAACTAGCACTAGAATAACACAAAATCATTCCCTTCAACATCGTAAAAGTTTTTTGTTATCATAATATTGAAGAGACTGCTCACTGAATCCATTTGATGAATCATTCAGAGAGTTTTAGTTTACATTTCTCCGTCAATAGCGGTATTTTTCGATCTGCCTTTCAATTGTGAAGCGCATCCCGTGGGATGCGAAGACTCGGAAGGACTGTCTGGTTCGAATCCTCTTTGCTTTCTTTTCCCACTCAATTTCCACTTTGGCTTCCATTCCTCGTTTAGCGGACGACTATCAGATCGTCGGGAATGCATCGCAGTGCTGTGCCGATATCAAAGAAATATCACGTTTTCTTGGGGATAATTTCTAGCACCGCGGGTTCTGATGATATTAAGATATAAATGATAAAAGAATTTATTAGAGCAATTTATGCGTGGTTTCCTTGATAGCCGAAATTATTACGTACATTTAATGCCTACTACAAATTGGTAGACTTTAGGTAAATATTGCTAAGAAGGCTGTTTGGTTCAACAGTGAACCGAACACATTTAAAATTAGCTATTTACTTTATGTATATCAATTTGGCGCCTAAAAAAGGAAATGGCGCCGGAAAATAAATATGAAATGAAATCTGATTAAATATCAAAGATATCCGAGAAAGCTTAATGCATACATCCTTTCCAACGGACTAGAATCGAAACCAAAACCGGCGACTACGGAAACTGAACCAAATTGGCCCACATAAAACGCCGTTGAGAATTGACTGTTATAACAGCGATCCGTATGTACTTTTCAATAGCTAATCTCAAAGAATACCACACTCCTGTTATAATATTAAAAACGGCACCGCCGTTTCTGTCCGCTTTGCGGGCGCTCCGCGATTTTCAAACGGAATATTCATGCAACGCCTCCCTCCCATCGGGATCGCAATTTCTTTAACTGTCGCTTTGACTCTTTCGAAAAGTTTAATGAGGCGACGACGCCAATTGAGCCCTAAGACAAGTATGGTGCAGTTAATTAACTTTTCAGAGTGTACTTAGCAATTAATGGAGTAGGTAGATAGTGTTCTGATACGGCCATCGGTTTCCGTTTCTGCTTTCACAACTTTTGTATCGGAAATTTACGCTTAGGAAGGTAAGGTAGGGGCCGAATTGGCAGGTTTGTCGGGGTAAGATCGGCGTGAAGTGGAAGGGTTACACTTCTGCGTTTCTTCCGGTAAGTGAGGTAGCCGGGGCCCACTTTATTAAAAGGTGGCAACGCTTCTGCAACGCTACGGGTGTTGCAAATGTCCATGGGCGGCGGTTGTCACCTAACATCTGTTGAGCCGCCAGCTCGTTTGCCACCTTCTCACATAAAAATTGGTGGTTATAAAAATGAGCTTGGACAAGATTTAGTTATAGTCCAGTGCCCATGTAGTGCCCCAGTGTTTGTGGGAAGCCAGTTCATCGAATTTTTTGACGAATATGTCTTTTTAGGATGTAGTCTAGCTAGGCCGGTACAATTATTAGAAAGGGGTCACCAAACGAAACCAACTCGTTTGAAAAGCATGCTGCAAGCTACTTATAGTCGTTTTTTAAACGTTTGGTTTTTCCTTGTAAAACGGACTTGGAAGGGGCCTTCTATGATGTGTGCTGTCATCATAAATTACGTTTAAAGAAGATACACAACATTACAAAGCTGTAAGGAGACTTGAGTTTGCTTCAAAAATTTTTGGTAAATAAATGTATTTTCTTTCTTTCTTCATTTAAGGTGTTGTAATGGAATAGTACGACGTACGTAATTCTATATAATATATACGTAATAAGCGAGTGTAACCTTTTTTAATAACAGCGTACAACTCCTAAGCAAACGCCTCGACCCATCGCAGATTAGATTGTAATTTCAATTAGCCTTTGAAAACTCCTCACTGACGGTCCGCTGCTTCTGAATTTTTAACTCGCCCCGGGCCCTTAAGTAGCCGTGAGCTTTTCCAATGTAATTAATCCGCGCATTCCGAAACATCTCCGGCCGAATCGCGTCGCGTCTTTAACCGCTGTTCAACTTATTTTTTTGAATTTACTCAAAAGAGCCGTCGCGATGGTAACTTAGCGATGACGTTACGCCTCCGATTGCTGTGTTTATACGCGCTGGTTTGCTTGCAATTTCCCGATCGCGCGCTCCTCTCGCGGAGGGACCGGGACGGGATCCGCGGCCGTATATAAGGGATCGGGAGAGCGGGAGGCCGCTCAGTCGCTCGGCGGCGCCGCTGCGGGCATGTTGTCGCTGTACCGAGCGTGGCTGGGGCCCAGCCCGTGCGTGGCGAGGCCGGCCCCGCCGCCGGGCGCCCACAGACCCGTGCCGAGGCGAGCTAGAGCTCCCTCAAGGTCTCCATCGCCGCCCGCCTCGCCTCCGCCGCGCTCCCCCGACTCGAGCGCCTCGAGCGAGCTCGACGTGGAGCGAATTGAGGCGCCCGAGCCGCTGAAGCGCGCCGGCGCCGTGCTCGACGTGGCCTCGTGCGACGGGCCGGTGCGCTTCAGCCGCGTGAGGAACGCCGCGTGGCGGGAGACCAGCCCCGGCCGCGAGTGGCCCCCCCGCCAGCGCAGGCCCCGCGCCCCCCTACACTACTACCCCTGCAAGACCTGCGGCTCCAAGTTCCCCTCGTACTACTTCGTGCACAAGCACAGGAAGCGGTGCCACGGCGAGAGCGAGGAACCGGAGCCGTCTACATCCAGCGCGTAGCCCACGTGAACCCCCCCCCCCCTCGCCCCGTAGGTTAATTTAATTATATCATTGTCGTTGGTTAATAAATGTTCGAATTATGATGTGGTGTCTCATTTCATGTTCGCAGTGGAGTGCCCCAATTCAATTTAATTGTCCCGAATGAAAATGTCACACATATAGAAAAGTCTAAAAGTTTACGTTCATATAACAAAAGTGTAGTCTTATAAGTAGTAGCTTCCGTAGACTGTGTGCAGAGATTAAAGAAATTCATTAATAACCAATATCTTAATTACATTATTTAGCGAAAGTTTATTTTCCACAAAACAGGATAATCGGATAACAGTTACGCCTTGCTTTTAAATACACATAAATTTTAAAACATTACAAACTTCCCATAAAGGGAAAACGAAAAATAAAATGGTAAATTTTCACGGAAAACACGGATCCGTCGGCAAATATTTCACAAAAAAAATGTCCAGTGTTTTTATAGCGATAAATGTCAATCGTTGTTTTACAAGGCGTAAACGCCGCTTCACCGCAGAATTTCGACAATATTGCGACGTCCGCAAACAGATGCGTAAAGTGATCGACTCTCCAGAAAAAAATAAATTCAAAGTAAGCGACTTTGTATATCTGGACCACAGTAGGCAGTGTCCGTTACCGGTGACTGAGTTTAAAATGATTGCGTGTGAGGAATAATTCAGTGGCAAACGAGCTGACAGTTCAAATGGCGCGAAGTGATAACCGCTTAATATATTATATAGATATATATAAATATATATATATATATATTATATATATATATATTAAGCGGTTATCACTTCGCGCTATAAATGATATATATGTATAAACCAGCGGACCGGGCAGACGTTGGCCTGTACACACGACATAAATCCAATAACTTACAAAAAAAAAAAAAAAAATGTGAATCTGAACCATTCTCGAATCAATATGAAGACACACAAAAAAAATCATTAAAATCGATCCAGTCGTTTAGGAGGATTTCAGAGTCATACAAACGTACAGAAGAATTATATATATAAAAAAATAGATAATCGCTTAAAAACTTTGACATAAAAAAGTGAGTTTGGAATGCTTGAATTAATAGTCAATCGACAAAGAATGCAATGTTACCAGTGCAATCTTTACGATCCTAACCTCATTGGGTTTACTTCAGACATAGCTATTGATTAGACAAATACAATTTTTAGTGGGAAATTCAAAAAGGAAAGTTAACTGCGGCAGTTAGATGTTAGATTCGAACCGTGAAATCGTTTACATAATATTAAAACTAATCTGAGTCGTGTGATATGTCAAGTCATTTGTGTTGCGTCTTTGTGTTTACTATATTCTTCATAAGACACAATCAAAGGGACTCCCTTTCTACTTTATTTTATAGGCATTAAATATGAATAATAGAAATAGCCAAGGGACAGGAGGAAGTCAGAGGAAGTGTGTCTATAAAGACGTACTTTTAATACTTTAAATTTAAACAGGATGTATGTAAATGTATGTAATGTAAAATCGTTAATTATTAATCGGACTCTAACAATATTTTTTACCATAGCTCCCGAAAATATACCTAATTATGATTTTAAGAATTTAATTACCCAGGCATGCAATATTTTCGTTTAAGTAAAATTGTTTGTTTTGGTACAAGGAATTATCAACATGTTTTCAGATAATGGATGATACAATGTCTATGCGGACCTGACTTCTGTTGTATATCATATTGTGAGGTTAGTGTGAATATAAAATAAAAATAAGAGATGAATTAAAAACCCGAGTACTTGTGTTTAAATGGGGAGTTACCATAGAACGGTGCTAGGAGTTACATTACCATCAAAGTCAACATTTCTTTATTCAATATAGGCTTATTTCGAGCTCTTATTGAACGTCAAAAATCTACCATCGGTTCACTAAACTAGACCTATCCAGAGAAGACCCGGCAAGGACAAGAAACTCTGCGGTTTTGTTATCTTTTTTATTCGAAACATTTCTTTCGTGCTTGTTGTAAATCAAAATCAATTACGTTGGTAGGGCCACGCAGCAGCCTCGGCTGTTGCACGAATGGGCAGGCCCGTCCGGCTAAGTACCACGACCTCACAGAAGACCGGAGTCAAGTGGAAGTATGACAAATACTTTCGCGTTTCGTCTGGTGAGTGAGGTAGCCGGAGACCAATTTTCAAAAGGTTGTCAACGCATCTGTAACCCTCGGGTGTAGCAGATGTGCAAGGGCGGCGGTATTCACTTAACATCAGGTGAACCGTCTGCTCGTTTGCCAACTTTTCACATAAAAACAAAAACAAAACGAAACAACATTTACAAACGCACTCGTGACCGACCAGCACGTGTGCCAAAGCTTTCGTCCAGTCGTAACTACAAAGCCAATCTTCATAAAACAAGATAGGAAAATAATTTTAAAAGCCTTACAAATCTGATAACACTAATAAAATTGAAGTGTCCGTCTTAGATATCGAAATTAATGCCAAGACTAAAGTGATAATTGCCATTCTCACGATGCCTAATCATAAATGAGTACTATTTTCCGAATGTTTGTCTATCCGCTATTTATTATTATTGGCGTCGGGGGTAGTGGGTTAGACTCCCATACGGGACAGGTATTTATGCGACGCACGGATAATTGTTCCGGATCTGTTTGATGGGACTTGGGAACAGAACAGATCAGTAGTCAGGCAGGCGGCCTCTCGTAAAAAGCCGAGCAAATACCATTAATTCCGTGATCGGTGACTCCGTGGCGAAGTTGCCAAGGTATTGGCTTCGGCGTCGAGGGTCGTGGGTTCGATTCCCACACGGGACAACTATTTGTGTGACCCACAGATAATTGTTTCGGATTAGGGTGTTTGCCTACGTGAAATTTATGTTTGTAAAACGTCCTTACAACACAGGATAATATTATCCTAAAGTAAGGTCAATGTAAATAAAAAAAATAAAGAAAAAAATTAACTACATATTGTGCAAAACATAATGAATAGGAGAAAGATGATTGGAAACGGCTTAAAGGGTTACTATGAAAATTATAGGGTTGAACGGTTTGGAGGTTTCTGATATTTAAATTCCTTTACCAGTAAAATTTTTAGAAGAAATTTACGATAAGTTTTACGCCATCGCGGGAATTGAAGACACGCATTCCGTAATCACGACCATACGCTTTAACCACTAAGCTAACCGGCTGATTTTCACGCCGACGAAAGTCGAAAGTCAACGTATTTCATCGGCATTGTTAAGGCGCGTGTTCGATTCCCGCGGTGACGTAAAACTTTCCGTCCCTATTTTCTACAAATTTTAATGCTTCATCTTAAGTGCAGAGATTAGCAATATAAAAACTTAATATAAAATTAAAAACAAATTCCTCAACCAGATCTTTGGGCATATTTACTGCTTTCAAGATATAGGTTATAATTAAGCCATATTCTTTAAGATATTCCCGAGGTCCTGCTGTCCCAAGCGATAAGGACATACGTTGGTCACACTCAAGGTCCTTAGAAAATCATAAAACGTCTAAATGTAGAGATTTGCCAAGACTTATTGTTGTTCAAAGTAGTCTCCGTGCCTCACTATCACTGAGAAAAGCTGTGGGCACATTCTTCCTTGGGGTCTGGTTTACTTCCTTTTTGAACCCACTCACCGCGTCTTAAGGCCTCGTAAAGCCAACATTATGACTAGGTCCAGTTCTGAAAACCCCTTCTCACCTTCTCAGTACATAATTGAATGAATGAATGAATGAATGAACGAATATTTATTTAGTTTCAACATGTAATTGAAAATGTTATGTATGACCATAATAACAAGAATGAATTTTCAAGAATTGGTGCATGATATAAATACTAGGAACAAACATAGATTAATTTTAGCCACAATTAGACTGCGTAAAACAAATAATTCTTTTATGGCACGATGTACATGTACATTTTTACAACAAAATCCCGGAGAACGTTCACAATATATCAATTGCTAAATTATAAAAATGTGTAATGGAACGTTTGTGTTTTAAAGGCTATTATAATGTGGTTATTTAAATGATAACATACTCATATACACACAGCGTTTTGATAGTCAAAACTAAGTGTAATATGCTTCTACAGCGTGTCGTTACCATCGCGACAATAAATGAACACACGTCTAACGCTACTTGCCAATAATCATAAAAAAATATTAACGTTATACAAAATCAATTAAAATAAAAAATAAATTAAATTAAATAAAAAAGACACAAAATTTGTAACATCCTATACAACTCCCGCCACAGCGTCGCATTACAAGCCTCTCATTCTAACAGTATGTTTTGTCTCTTTTAAATCCATTCAACCCATTCATGTGCTTTGTGACCTTTACAAATGAACTTTACGTTACGCTTTTATAGGTAAGGGTGTTCTAAAATTCTTTGTTTTGGAAACATTAATAACTCTGTAAATATTGATGTCTAAAGAATTTAAATGTTTAATACAAGTTTAAAAAGTTATCCCCTATATGTGTTTTCATTTATTGTCGCGATGGTAACGTCACGCTGTATAGGAAAACTTTTAAAAATGGTATTAAACATTTACATTCTTTAAACATCAAGATTTAACGAGTTACGTATAAAACTGTAACGTAAAGTTCATTTGTAAAGGTCACAAAGTATATGAATGGGTTGAATGAATTTAAAAGAGACAAAACATACTGTTAGAAGGAGAGGCTTGAAATACGACGCTGTAGCGCGAGTTATATCCTATATGATATGATATTATATAGGATAAGTTATATAGGATGTTACAAATTTTGTTTCTTTTTTACTTAATTAGTTTGAAAAATATTTTTTTGTAATTATGGATTTTGTTTAACGTTAATATTTTTTTTTTGATTATTGGTAAGTAGCGTTAGACGTGTGTTCATTTATTGTCGCGATGGTAACGACACGCTGTATATTGAATAAAGATATTTGAATGTGAAGCCACTTTCTGGGGAATCAAAGCTGTGGGACAGTGGCTCACCTGGCTCGGGCGTGGGCGGCGGCTGCGTGGGCGTGGGCGGCTGGGCGGGCTGCGGCGTGGGCGGCGCGCTGCCACCGCCCACGCTTGGCGCCGGCGCCGACGCCGCCGATGACGTCACCACGCACGAGGTCGGCGTCGCCGATGACGTCACGCTCGCCGACGACGACGACGACGTCTGCGCACAGGACGCCGTGGTCATCACACAAGTACATGGCAGTGGCAGCCTCTATATGCAGATGTGCATTGGCACAGGATGACGGTGATGACGTGAACGACAATGCACACAACTGTGGTAGTCCCACGCACCTGTGTCTGTGGTCGACGATATCTAAACCATCACATGACAGAGGACCGACGTAAATTAGAACCTATGTGATTCGTGCCCCAACTTTAGCATGGCAATGCATCCCCTGTTACGGATGTCCTTAAAAGGCTGTATTACTACACTTATCGTCATAACAAGCGCTTTTCTATGCGTTGACTCATCAGACGAAACGCGAAAGTTTTAAATACTTCCACTTCACGCCGTTCTTCTGTGAGGCCGTGGTACTTTTCCGGCCATTAAAAAGGAAAGGTGAAACAGTACAACAGTGGACTACTCACAGTGATGACGCTGACACTGGTTGCGCTCCCGCTGAGGGGTGTCGGCGTGCTGGCTGGGACGGGTGCGACAACTGTCGCGGGGGCGGGGGCGGGGGAGGGAGCGGTTGGGGGCTCGGCGGGCGCGGGGGCGTCGGGGGCGGGGCTGACCGCCGCTGCGACGGCGGGGGCGGGGGCGGCGGGCGCCGGGCTGCCCGCTCCCCCCACCGGCGTCACCGTGATGGTGACGGTGCTCAGGCTGGCGGCGGCGCTGGTGCACGCGACGGTGGTCACCACGCCGGCGGGCGTGCTGGTCGCCGTGCATATAGTCGAGGGCGGCGCGGGGGGCGCCGAAGACGCCGGCGGCGGCGACGGCGGTAAAGGGGGCGTGCAGTTCGCCTCCAGCCTGTGTGTGTGAAGGGGAGAAATTATACATTTCTGACAAAAACTTGAGAACTTCGACATTTTTATATTGGAGTTTGTTATCTGAAGTTAAAGAATCTTTGAAATCTTTTGATGCTTTCATATTATTATGAATATTATAAAACGGAACGTCTCGCCAGCTGACTGTCTGTTTTTTCCTTGAATTTTGTAGATCCATGAATGTTCTTTAGTGCGGACTGTGGGACACGCATTATATTAACTAAACTTAGCTAGTATCACAAAAAAAACTAGTTAGTATCACAAAAAAAATTTGTTGAGTTGTTGCTAAGCCAATGCTCTTAATGAAAAACGTATTGTTGTCATTATTTTAAAAATTCAACACACAACGAGATGTGTGCTCGCAAAGCGCAAATATTAATTTTCGGTTTGCATATGATCGTGGCAGATTAACATATTGCGTTAATGCATTGATTTCATTGGAACGAACAAACAACGAATTGAAAATAGCGACGATTTAAAAATTTACATTAACTAACTCACTGTGAAGTGTGTAGTAACGTAGACAAAACATAAAATGTGGAAATGGCTTTGCTAAAAGATAATATAATAACTAGGTGATGCCCGTTGATTTCATCTAAGTTATTTTAATAAAGTTAAACATTTAATAACTCTTCACATTTAATGAAGACGTCACGGCATATATTTTAAGTAAGATAAAGGTCCAAGTGTTACGACCTGGGAACCTTCAAGAAGAGAGCGTACTCTTTCCTAAAAAACCGGCAACGCATTTGTAAGCCCTCGGGTGTTGCAGATGTCCATGGGCGGCGGTAATCACTTACCATCAGGTGAGCTGCTTTTTTCCCATAAAAAAAAGTGTAGAAGAAATGAAACTTATAAAAAATAGCTGTCCTAATCTATCAAGTAATTTTTCGATGATGCGCGCACAATAGCAGACCTCTGTCATTTCAATTATGATGCAAATATATTTAATGAAATATATATTTCTCGCCTCTCTACTCTTCATCTCATGACGATATGTCACTTGAGTATTCTTTAAGCTAACGTACCAATTTTAATTAATTAATGTAAAAAAAAATGGAATTGCAAATATTTGATCGATAACGTCGTCTTATAACCATCGACGTCAACCATCATGTTCACGTGGGCCTAAGTATCTTCGTCAAAAGTCAACCTAGAGCTGACTTTAACTAGGCTTTAAGAAAATGTATCAACTAGATATTCCCAGACAATAAATGTCTCAGCCATCAGGAGAGACCAAACCGTAAGGAGGTCTAGTCCTCATCACCAATCGATATCAAGCTACCCTCATTTAATGCAGTAAAAGATGGCCGTACTGGCCGTCTGTAACACGTCATGAGTCAAGTACAGTTTGTAAATTTTCCTTGAATCTTAGGTCGCGATTTAAAGACGGTTTAAGTTGTTGACTATGGTAGGGCCACGCAACGGTCTTAGCAGTTGCACGAATGGGCAGATCCGTCAGGGTAAGTACCACGACCTCACATAAAGCCGGCGTGAAGTGAAAGTGTTACAATTCTGCGTTTCGTCTGTGAGTGAGATAGCCGGGGCCCGGTTTATTAAAAGGTGGCAACACATCCCTACAGGTGTTGCGAATGTCAACCGGCGGAAGTTATCACATCATTTGTACCGCTAGCTCGTTTGTCACATCACTATCACTACATAGCATAAAACAAAGTCGTCCCGCCGTCTGTCTGTCCCTATGTATGCTTAGATCTTTAAAACTACGCAACGGATCTTGATGCGGTTTTTTTACTAGTCTACGAAGCTAATTTATATGTATATTTGCACATAATAATACATTACATTGTATAATACATTATTCAGAAATGAAATAAAAAGGAGGCTCGGTTTAAAATCATCGCGGCGTTGTGAGCGCCGCCTTACGGCCGCGATGACTGCGCGGATGAGCCGCGGGGTAGTTGGATAATTAAAAGACTGGCGAATTGCGCTAATTATGTTTACAATGCCCCCCCCCCCCCCCCCACCCCCCCCCCCCCCCGTAAAGCTGCCGTGTTTGCGATCCAACTGCGATAACCTGATTAACGGGATGTAGCGATGCTGCCGGCCTGTTACAAGTGCGACGTTTAATTTTTCATTTTTAATCAACGGTCAATTGTAATGGGTTTGCGAGATTTTTGCGTTTTCATGAAGCCTCCTACACAGGTATTCGACATTGTTAAATGAGAATAATTAGCGTAAATTCGTTTTATAAATGCCGAAAGATCTAATCATCTTGTGGTATCGTTTAGAAAGATGTAAGTGCAGTTTTATTACTTTTTGACTTGACGATTACAGATTTATCGTAATATAATTATATGTAAGCTGCATTTAATATTGCATTTAATAAATAAAAATCTATGCAGACCTTTGTCGCTTGCTAAAACTACTACATAGGTCGCTATACATTTCGACTAAATATCTTATTCCACCAGCAAGAAAAAGACCTGAGTTATACTTATTTATTCACTCAATGTTTATAACTAACGTATTAGTTCGTTATACATATAGAATCAGTGTCAGCCGTACCAGTTTCGCTCTACCGACACCGTGTCGGGGTGTACGGCGAATGCGGGTATTTGCCTATCATTAAAATTGGACCAATTAATAAGGGACTGGTAGTTAACGCGCGGGGGTGTACAAACAACAGGGGGCGGCGGGAGGGGGGCTGGCGTTAGGTTAACCGAAATACGCCCTATGATTTTTGGGACTTTGACGACTATTGTTGACTTATATTATACTTATACTATATTGGGGACTAGATTAATGTAGCTTAATTCGACATAAATTATTTTTTACCAGCAACTAGACTCCGTGGAATAAGTAAATCTTTTATGGGACGATGTATACGTTTTTACAACAAAAATACCAGAAAACGTTGAAATTGCATCAGCTACTAAATTCGAAAAAATTGTAGAGGATCGTTTGTTTATTATTTAAATGATAACACGCCAAGTTACAATCAAAGTTACATCAAACTTACTAAGTTCATAAGGAGTAGTCAGACGGTGGTAAAAGTTAATGAATCGAGTGAGGAATCTAAACGGTAGAAACATTGTTGGGTACAGGGAGTATACTATACTCGATTATTTATGGGGAGTACGTAACGAGGAATGCTGGCTGAGTGTGTTAAGTTCAAGGTCGCGCGAGTCAGGTACAAAGCGAAATTTCATTTAACAATCGACGCGTAGTAAAACAAACAACTTCAGGACATATTACAGTGCAACCTCGTTGAAACGAAAGTGAAGGGAGTTAGGTTATATTTGTTATATGAAGTAATTCGTTAAAATCAGGATAGTTATATACTTTTGAAGCCCGAGTTCTTATCTGAGTCTTTTTCTGTGCAGAAAGAGTAAAGTAAAATAACAGTTTAATTATGTCCCAATGCTGGGCAAAGGCCTCCTCCGTATAGAGGGTATCAAGGCATGGTTCAGCACGCGGCCCCACTGCGGACTGGCGGACTACACATATCTTCCATTATGTCCAAGGTAGCTTCACCATATGCCAAAGTCAACACTCGGATTGCGTCCGCGCAATTTTGTTTTTCACGCAAAATTCAATACAGATTCTTTGATACATCTTTTGGAATAGGCAACAATCGAAGACGAACCAAAACAGTTGCAAGCAAAGCAGCAAATTAACTGAACATTTATTTAACATGGTCGAATTTGTCGGTATGAGTTAGAGACAGACAAAAAATCGAAAATCGAAAATGCGTAACAAAATTCGCGATACTTTTTGAACAGACCTCGAATAGTTTATAGGGGGATGGAGTGCAGAATGCTAATGTTTTTTTTTTAAATAATTATTAATTAAAAATACATAAAATCAATTTTAAAAAAACAATACACAGACAACCATGTATAATTAATTACCTCTAGTTAATATATAGTATAAGTTTGGGAACTTGTAGTTGTTTTGGTTGTTTTGGTGAAAGGTAGGTACTCCTGCCAAACGGGCCGTCGCGTCGCGTTCAGCCGTTCAGTTTAGTCATAACCGTGTCGCGGGGGGACCGTCGAAAATAGGCAGTTAAAAAAATCAGCTCTGTAAACCGCCGGCGGGACTGTGTTTCTCTCCCGATCGGTGCTTTAATTAAGGCAATTAGAAAGATGGGCCCGGGCCGTGTTTGCGTAAAAATCTAAACAAGCCGCCGCGCGACGAATCGCTAGTGATGCGCGCGGCGGTGTATCGATATCGATACTTTCAATACCGGCAGTATCTATTTATGGCCAAAACGTTAGAGATGAATTAGCGCAGAAAGTTTTTTGGTGGGTGGGGTCAGTGGAAGACAACGCTTTTGGATTTAAGAATCCCACATATCAACGAAGACATTGGCGCTGTGTTATTTTAGTTAACTACATAAAATGTAAATTGAAAAATTGTTGCATTTATTTGGGATTTAATGAAATCAAATTCCGAATGTGAAAAATTTTAAATGTGAATTTTTGTATACAAATGAATAAAGCCTTTCGACACTGTGGAATTTAAATTCTCCCCGACACTTTACCAACTAAGCCAAGCGGCCGATAACGTCACTATGCGAAATCAATGCAATTTCTTGTTTGCTTTTTAGCAATTATTAACGTCATCGAGTGTAGTGATATAAAAACCTTTCAAATAGCATTTTACAATTTTTATTTTGAAAGTAGAGACTATAATTCGATATATTTTTGTGCTAGTTTCTCCACCCAAAATGAAACGGAAAATTTTTTTTCTCTTCTAACCGCTTGCATAATACTCAAAAAACATAATTTTTCATATGTTATATGAAATCGAGTAAAATATTTACTCATATAATTTTATAAACATACTAAAATTCATCGTAATTTTGATCGCCATGTTAATTTATCGTGTTACTCTTGACGTGGCGTTGGTACAGCACTAGTGGAGGGCGAATCCCGCGGGATTCCCCGGCAAATAATCACGGGAGTGATTGTCAACACACGCATGAATATCGCGCCATTATTATTCCATATTTTCTTTATT